AGCATAGCAGATTTCTGCCGCCATACAAAGAAATGTTTCCAGGCTGCACAGTGCTCTGCATGGCAAATTTTGCTATAACTCAAAAAGAAAGTTTATGTGCTGCATGCTCAGTCTCTGAGTTAAGCTGATGAGTGTGGCTCCTACCTGGCGGCCCCAGAGCTAGCAGAAATGATACATTCACCATTTTGAAATTGGAGAGAGGTGGAGCCAACATCCAGAGCAGCTCCACCATGCTAGCGGTGCAGTGTGCATGGCTCAAAGGCACAAGTAGCTCCACCATGTTGGACTGAGTGGGGCAAGCAGGCAGTACCTGTATTTGACCTGGGATTGTCTCAGCTTAGATTCTTAAGAGCTTAGCATTTTAAAAGCTCTTCAAGACAGTAAAGAATTACAGATTCACAATAGGACAGATTCAGACATAGAAGACCTCTAAATGGGTCACAGTGTTGGATGGGTGTACATAGGCTTGGGAGAGAAAAGGAAAAGAATATAGAGAATAAAGTTTATGCCTTAAAATAAAGTTAATGCCTTAAAAAAAGGTGACTGAAAAAGCATGGGCAAAAACCGGACTCTCTGAACATGACAAACAATGAGGGCTGATGAGAAGCCAAGGACAAGGGCACTGGGTTTTGATCCTACTTCATGTTCTGGCTTTGTGGGAGCCTAGCCAGTTTGGATGTTCACCTTCCTAGACATGGACGGAGTGGGGAGGACCTTGGACTTTCCACAGGGCAGGGAACCCTGACTGCTCTTTGGACTGGAGAGGGAGGGGGAGAGGAGTGGGGGGAGGGGGAGAAGGGTGGGAGGAGGGGGAAGGAAATGGGAGGCTGGGAGGAGGCGGAAACTTTTTTTTCCTTTTCTCAATAAAAAAAAGAAAAGAAAAAAAGGTAAAATCTTTAAAGAGATAGAGTACAAACAGTTATAGATTAAAAGAAATAAATAAAAATAAGCCACGTAAAAATAGAAAATTTTCAGAGAGTCTGGATTCTGTACATTATTGTGTTTTCTTTAAAGTTTTTAACTGTGAAGGAGCTAAATACAGAGAGACATTTCATTGTGTGGTCTGCTAAGCTAATCCAATATGTATATTATAAAGCTACCTTGGCTTCACAATTTGGATCTAAGGATATGATACTTTGGAAAAGAGGTTCTTCTTTTGTTTTCACAGAGGATGAGACCCTGTAGACTGCTTCTATCCCAATATGGTAATGATAGACCATGCCCTCCTGAAAGATCACCATGAACACCTTCAGAAAATTACTTCACTCAACTGCTGACTGAGATCAACCTAGCAGACAGGTTATACCATGAAAGACTTGATTAACAGTGCTCCCACACAGCATGAAGCAGATTGGAGAGAAAACACTATCCCCATATTCCCAAATATTGTTTATAAATGTTCTTTTACATTTAAAGGGGGATATGATATAGATATAAATAATTTACATTCATATAAATTTTGCTTTATTGATAGAAATTTAAGGTCAATTTTGTTATATGTATATGTATTTCTGATATTGATTAAGGTATTGTGATTGTGTAGTTCATTTAAAAATGTAATGTATAATTAAGAAATATAGGTTAATAGATAATGATAAATAATAGTCAAGCTTGTAGTCATGTTAGTTAGGTTTTCTAGATATAGAGATATATTTCAGTTAGATAGGCATTCTTCATATCTTTCAAAGACTACAGAATATGGCATTTAATGTTTTAATAACTTAGGACTTTTCATGACAATGAGACACGTCTGCTCCTGGCAGCACCAATCTACTTCAAGAGGAAGATGGGCATTGGAGAGGCTCCTTATGGAGTTTGAATAGCCATTTGGGCAAGAAACTGCTCTTGCCTGGACTGTTGCATAAACTGGACATAAAGAACCTGCAGAGAGAGGACTGCTAAACTTGCCAAAAGGTGAGATGATCCTTTGGGGTTCCTGTTTTATAAAAGAATTTGAGAGACATTCTGCAGGACACAGAAGAAAGTGACTGAACTGTCTTTGAAATTTCCTGCTTCATGGAAATGTCTCTGGATACTATGGGCCTGTAGGCTGAAGATGGATGCCCCTACAGTACAAAAGAACTTTGGGGGACTGTCTAGACAGCGAGATGTCTGTCATTTGTAGAGTTTTGGAAGTTGCTTACTTCTTGTTTTCTTAGGTAATAATATATCCTTCTGGAGTCTTTGATGGAGTTGAAGAATAGATAGATAGTTATAGTTTTCCTTAGTTATGATAAAAGATAAAATAGATATAAGTATTGTGACTGTAATTCTTGCTTGATAACGGTTTTTTTATATGTAATTTTACTATGTTAAAATGAAAGCCTTTCTTTTTTGTTTAAACAGAAAAAGGGGAAATGGTGTAGGAGGGTCTTCTTTCTATGTGTTGCTTTCATTGGTCAAATAAAGAAACTGCCTTGGCCTTTTGATAGGGCAGATCTTAGGCGGGGAAGACAGGACTGGATGCTGGGAGGAAGAAGGCAGTGACGCAGACAACATGATTCTCCAGCCTGAGATGGATGTAGGCTAGAATCTTCCCAGTAAGCCACAACCCTGTGGTGATACACAGATTACTAGATATGGGTTAAAGCCAGATGTTAGCCAAGAAGAAGCTAGATATAATGAGCCAGGCAGTGTTTAAATGAATACCATTTCTGTGTAATTATTTTGGGGGTTAAACTAGCCAGGCAGCAGGAAGCAGCCCGCCGCTCTGCCTCACTACAAATAACCCCACATCAGACAGAGGTCTAATCTCGAAAATATACAAAGAACTCAAGAAATTGGACACCAAAAGATCACATAATCCAATAAAAAAATGGAGTACAGGCCTAAACAGAACTCTCAACAGAGGAATCTAAAATGGCTGAAAGACACTTAAGGAAATGTTCAATATCCTTAGTCATCAGAGAAATGCAAATCAAAACAACTCTGAGATTCCATCTTACACCTGTAAGAATGGCCAAGATTGGGCTGGAGAAATGGCTCAGCAGTTAAGAGCATTGCCTGCTCTTCCGAAGGACTTGGGTTCAATTCCCAGCAACCACATGGTGGCTCACAACCATCTGTAATGAGGTCTGGTGCCCTCTTCTGGTCTGCAGGCATACATGGAGAGAGAATATTGTATACATAATAAATAAATAAATATATAAAAAATTAAAAATAAAAGAATGGCCAAGATCAAAAACACTGATGACAACTTATGCTGGAGAGGTTATGGGGTAAAGGGAACACTTCTCCATTGCTGGTGGGAATGCAAGCTGGTACAACCCCTTTGGATGTCAGTGTGGCGATTTCTCAGAAAATTAGGAAACAACCTTCCTCAAGACCCAGTAATACCACTTTTGAGTATATATCCAAAGGATGCTCAATCATGCCACAAGGACGTGTGTGCTCAACTATGTTCATAGCAGCTTTGTTTGTCATAGCCAGAACCTGGAAACAACCTAAATGCCCCTTTATTGAAAAATGGATAAGAAAAATGTGGTACATTTACACAACGGAGTACTACACGGCAGAAAAAAATAAGGACAGCTTGAATTTTGCAGGAAAATGGATGGAGCTAGAAAACATTATTTTGAGTGAGGTAACCCAGACACAGAAAGACAATTATCACATGTACTCACTCATAGGTGGTTTTTAAACATAAAGCAAAGAAAGCCATCCTACAAACCATAATCCCAGAGAACTTAGACAATAATGCGGACACTAAGAGAGACTTACATAGATATAATCTACATGGGAATTAGAAAGTATAAAAAGACAAGATCTCCTGAGTAAATTGGGAGCATGGGGACCTTGGGGGAGGGTTGAAGGGGGGAGGGGAGAGGTAGGGAGAGGAGCAGAGAAAAATGGAGATCTCAATAAATATCAATTAAAAAAAAAGAAAGAAATCTGAGCAAGCCATGGAGAGCAAGTCAGTAAGCAGCATTCCTTCATGGCCTCTGCCTCAGTTTTTGACTCAACATCCCTCCATGGCATCTCTCAATGATGGACTGTGATCAGAAAGTGTTAAGCCAAATAAACTCTTTCCTCTCCAAGTTGATTTGGTCATACTGTTTATCACAATAATAGAAAACAAACTAAAACATTGTACAAGCATGAGGACTTGAGTTTAATCTCCCAGTACCCAAAGGAAAAGCTGAGCATTGCTGCATGCATTATAATCTCAGAGTTGGGGAGGCAGAGACAGGTAGATCTCTGGGGCTCAGTATAGCCCTAAATGGTGAGTTCTAGATTGCTAAGAGAACCCATCACAAAGCAAACAAACTCAAACTTGCATGTCCTTGTGCTCCGCATCCTTTTGCAAACACACCTATCTGTTTACTGACAAGCATGCACACACATTAAGCACCCCAATATTCCGGCCAAAAAGTCTCTAATATGGCTGAGGGTATAACAGTTCAGTGGTAGAATGTGTGCTTAACATATATGATGTCTTGAGGTCAATTCCTAGCCCAGTAACAGAACAAAATGAAACAACCATGTAGTTGGAAGTCTATTGTTTTTCTGTCAGCTTAGCAGCCGCACCTGAATCTACTGATATTTTAACTAATTACGATCAGGTGTGCCTAGCTTTCCCCCTGCTGCTCAGACTGCAGCCTGGGGGAATTTCAGGTCTGCTGGCACTGGCTCAACCTTGGCTACCAAATGTATGTTTTTAACTATCTATCGTTATATTTACCAATGAAAACTTGGAAGTCAGATGTTGTGGTGAAAACCTGCTGTATCAGAGAAGCAAAGGAGCAACCAGCTGATCTTTCTTTTTGGCTGGAGATCCCGCAAGAGAAGCATCTCTTCACTTGTCCTAAACCAAAAAGATCTAAGTCTCTCCCCATTCCTTCCTGTGTGTCTCTCCGTATTCCTGGTTCCTCCATTCTCTCCATGGCTAATTCCTGTCAACTAGTCGCTGGTTCAGTTCCCTGATCCAAAGTAAATTTTATTTACACAGTCTTGGAGTTTCACAGTGTGATTAAATATTCCACAACAGAAGTCACACGTACCTTTGCTGTATCTGAAACAGAATTCCAGTAACCACCACTGAGTGAGAATTTTCTACTACCTATTCGTGCCAATATTTCCTCTGGAGTATCATCAGGACCATTTGCAAATGGAGTGTAACTAGATTATAATAAAGTTAAAATGTCAATACATATTATAGTTAGTAATGTTTTCATTTACCTATAGTTTCTAAAAGTATTCCGAATAGTTCAGTTAATGTAATATTTTATTAGAGTCTATCAAAGTAAATAAAAGACAGTAAAATGAAGCTCCATAGGAAAATAATAGGTTATATTAATTAGACTTTGTGATAGTTTGAATGAAAATGGCTTCACAGGCTCATAGGGTGTTGCACTATTGGGAGTCAGTCACTGGGGGCAGGCTTTGAGGTCTCAGAAGCTCAAGAGGCCTAGCGTGTCTCATTCTCTTCCTGCAGTCAATGGATGCAGAACTCTCACTTGGGAAGCAGAGGCAAGCAGAGCTCTGTAAGTTCGAGGCAAGCCTGGTCTATAAGAGCTAGTTCCAGAACAGCCAGGACTGTTTCACAGTGAAATCCTGTCTCGAAAAACCAAAAGAAAGAAAGAAAAAAAAAGATGTAGAACTCCCAGGTACTTCTCCAGCACCAAGTCTGCCTGCATGCCTTCATGTTTCCCACCATGACGATAAGGGAATAAATCTAAGATAGACCCAATTAAATGTTTCACATTATAAGAGTTGCCATGGTCACTGTGTCTCTTTACAGCAATAAAACCCTATGACAGACTTAATACATAATATTATATGTATTTTAAGTTATGACACAGTCTAGGATAATATAAAACTGTATTTTTATTACATAATCAGAATAAAAGTATAGAAAATTAATTTAAGATTGTAAGACATTAAAAACACAACTATAGCCAGGTGTGGGGATAACCCTTTAATCCCAGCACTGGAGAGAAAAAAGCAAGCAGATCTCTCTGAGTCTGAGGCCAGTCTGATATACATAATGAGTCCTAGGCCAGGCAGGACAATACAGTGAGATCCTGTCTCCAAAACAAAAAAACAACAACAGGGAACTCTAAAAAAAGATAAACCTATAAATATAATTATAGAGCTATAATTATATACATAATTATAATACTATATATTAGTATGAGAAACATGGAAAGATATTACAATATAGGAACTTAAAAAGCCTACATAATCTAAATAAAATATTGATAAATAAATGCTTATGGTACACACTTACCCAGTAAGCATTGTATAAAGGAGGACACCAAGACTCCATATATCACAGGCAGCATCATAACCTTGTCGTTTTAAAACCTAGAAAAAGTAAAAGATGATTATTACCACACTAATATCTTTTTTAAAGTAATATTTATATCTTTTTTTTTTTTGGTTTTTCGAGATAGGGTTTCTCTGTGGCTTTGAAGCCTGTCCTGGAACTAGCTCTGTAGACCAGGCTGGTCTTGAACTCACAGAGATCCGCCTGCCTCTGCCTCCCGAGTGCTGGGATTAAAGGTGTGCACCACCATTGCCCGGCTTATATCTTTTTTAAAAAATTTATTTATTTATTTATTATGTATAAAGTATTCTCAGTATTCTTTCTGCATGTATGGCTGCCGACCAGAAGAGGGCAACAGATCTCATTACAGATGGTTGTGAGCTGCCATGTGGTTGCTGGGAATTGAACTCAGGACCTTTGGAAGAGCAGGCAATGCTCTTAACTGCTGAGCCATCTCTCCAGCCCCAATATTTATATCTTTCTGTGTATCCCACCACACAGGTGTATGTGCACCACAAAGGCCAAGAGAGGGGTCTGATCTCATGGAAGTGGAGTTACAAGTGACTGTTAGTTACTGATCCTTTGCAAGAGCAGCAAGTGCTCTTAATTGGAGTCATCTTTCCAGCTTTTCTAATGTTTTTATACATATATTTGGATATTAAACAAAATTGTATTTCCCAAAACAATACAATAAGTACTTCAATAAAATATGATTAACAAATAAAACGTGTGGTAATCAAATAAAATGTGTGGTAATCAAATATTAGAATATTCTTATATACACTTATGTACATTATGTTAAATTATTCATATATACATTTATGAATTTAACATTGGTATTTTTATTTACATTTATTATGTATTGCTGTGGGTACAAAGAAGGATACAGAACAAATCAAAGGTAAATTTTCTTTACATATTTCTTAAGACATAATCTCACTATGTAGTTCTTCCTGGAATTCACTATGTAGACCAGGCTGGATTAGAACTCAAAGAGATCCACCTGTCTCTCTCTCTGCCTTAGTGCTGTAACTAGATAGAGGTGTCTGTACTGCCATACTTGAGATATTTTTCTTAATAAATTTCTATTTTGAATGGGGCTATAGAAATGACTATAGTCTACTTTTTGAGCTAGAATTTCACTCTATAGCTCAGTCTAGCCTCAAACTTCCTATATAGTCATGGCAGGTTGTGTACTCTTGATCCTATACTCAGCTTTCCTAGTACTAGGATCACAGTCATGCCTCTCACGCCTGGCAAATAACAATATTTTAAGAACACATGCAACCTCATATAGATGATACAGTTGCTAAAACTACTAATTCATGATTATTTGATTCACTAAAACATTTAATCATCTTCATTGATTATTATCAGACATGAACTATGATAAATTTTGAAAAATATCAGTTTCTTTAAAAAGTAGAATCTAGCAGGGGTAATCAACATATATAAATAGTTAACAATTCAACTTAAGTATTATAACAAAATCATGTTAATAAAGACTCTGATATTGAGATGAAAACATGGTTTATTTATTTTTGTGGAGCTGGGAATCAAATCTAGAGCTTCCTATAGGTTAGGAAAGCCCTCCATCAAATTTGAGTTCCAATTAATTCTAGCTAGTTTGTACTGAACCTTCAAGTAAGATGTCAGTAGGCAAAGAGGGGAGGCAGAAAACAGTCAAAAGAAGAAGCAAAGGGCAAAGCTGTACGTTTGTGTGGTTCATATTTGTAATCTCAGAACTTGTGAGGCTGAGGTAGATCAACTGCAAGTTCAAGGCCAGGCTGGGTACAGAATTGAGACCCAGTATCTGAACAAAACAAGAGGACAAAATAGTGTTAATGATAGGCAAAGGAGTAAAAAGTGGCTAGAACTTCAGGAAGAGGATACTAGAGAAACAAAGAGCTTTTGTAATATCCTACTAAAGGAATTTAAATTTTTCTCCTATAGGCAATCTGATATCATTGAAGCATTAAACAGGAAAACAAAGGGCTGGTAATTTATTTCAATGTTCAGTTCTGTAATTCTTCAATTAAACAATAATTACCATCCTATATTAAAGATATAAAATGAGTTCTTAAATATACCCAAATATAGAAAGCACATTCCTCACAATTACCTCTGGTGCAACAAAATTTGCGGTATAACAAGGAGTCATAAGAAGACCGTTTTCTGCTCTCAACTGTTTTGCAAAGCCAAAATCACAAATTCGAATAGATTCTGGATTACCAGATTCATCCACATAAAGAATGTTGCTAGGTTTCAAGTCTCTGTGAACCACCTAGTTGAAATACAAATTAGAGATTTATGTTAACACAATACATTTACTCACTGAAATTTCTTTATTCTCATACTGTCAAAAACTGTACCTAACAAGCTGATGAGTGCATTATCCTAACACTATAAAATGCTCATCGGCTAGGAGTTGCACCTAATTGGTGAGCTTCAGGCCAGTGAGGGAACCTGACCCAAAGGAGACAGATGGTATTCCTGAGGATGACAGCAATGTTGTCCTCCATAATCTATATGCATGTGCATATGCACCAAAAACACACAAAAATACTTAAGAAAATCTTTGATCTATACCTTAAGTTTATTTTATCAATTAAAAAATGTTAAAAAATAAGCAAAATTTTCTCCCTATGATATTCTCTCCTCCTCTTTATTTCCCATTTCTCCCTTCTTCCAGACTTCATTCTTTAAAAAATATTAGTATTTTTCTTTTCTTTTTTTATCATCTACTAAAATTTGTATGCAGGAGAAAACAACGAGATCACTTACTTAGCTGAGAACTTGGCTTTACTCGTTTATGTGGATTCAAACCACCATTCTCGTTTTCTGCTTATAATTTTAAGAGGGCCTGGTTTCCAAGGATACACAGTGCTATGTTTTACAGGTCCAAAGATCTTATTAACTTTTTCTTGAAAAGCATTAACAAATTAATATAAGTATGCTAAGATTTCAACGTACTTCAGGCTCAATACAAAAGTTTTGTGTAAAGGAAAAGCAGGATAATAAAGCTCATTACAGTTTTCTATTACTTTTATATTTTCAATTTTATCTTGAATAAAAAAGAATGTGTATATGAATATATGTGTGCATAAATTATGCTCAAAAGACTTACCCCTTGTGCATGAAGATACTCAACAGTTTTGGTTATAGTAAACAGGACAGCACTGGCCTCTCGCTCTGAGAAAAACTTCTGTCTAAGAATTTTATCCAGCAATTCACCTCCTTTCATAAGTTCTGTTACTACATACACATATTTTCCATCATCATACACCTATAAAGTTTAAAATAGAAACAAAAATTATTTGAAGCTCTATGCATGTCTCTAAATTACTCTTAAACATACTAAAGATGAGTGACTATATTAAAAGAAATAAAAAATGCATATTAAAGAAAAATTTGTGAAAAACCTGCTGTGGGAGAATGCTTCTGTACACTGTAAAGATTTGTCACTCATATTGGTTTAATAAAACTCTGATTGGCCAGTAGCCAGCAGGAAGTATAGGCAGGGCTACCAGACAAGGAGAATTCTGGGAAGAGGAAAGGCAGAGACACAGAGAAAGCAAGATGAGAATGCTTTATTGAGAAAAGGTACCAAGCCACGTGGCTAAACAAAGACAAGAATTATGGGTAAATTTAAGTTATAAATGCTAGTTAGTAATAAGCCTGAGCAATAGGTTTATAATTAATATAAGCCTCTGTGTTTATTTGGGCCTGAATGGCTGTGGGACTGGGTGGGGCAAAAACTTCTGTCTACAAAACCAATACAGTTCTGGAGATTATGTTAAAGAGTCATTTACAGTGAATAGTTTCACATTTAATATGACTTAGTTAACATTTTTTTTTGGTTTCTTAAGACAAGGTTTCTCTGTAGCTTTGGAGCCTGTCCTGGAACTAGCTTTTGTAGACCAGGCTGGCCTTGAACTCACAGAGATCTGCCTGCCTCTGCCTCCACCTGGCTTAGTCAACATTCGTTATGTAAGACGAATTATTCTGAGAAAATAAGAGTTTTGCCAACATCTAGAGAGATAGCCTTTGAGTCTATGTGTGCACTAGCAGCAAGAGAGAGCTGACTAATTACTTGGGAAGTGGATACTTTTGTCAATATTCAGCTATAATAAAAGCCACAGGAGAAAGAGTTATCTGGATATCCCAAGTAAAGAATACCTCATTTGTCCTGGTGGTGGTAATGGGCATGAAAGGCTTCCTGGGAGGAAGCAGCTTGTAGCAAAGTCTTAGTTGTGGCAGTCAACTAGGTAAATAAAGGAAATGATATTCCTACTTCAGGATCTACACATTCAAAGAGCACTAGTAGAAAATGAGGCATGCATGCTCTAAAACGTCTACATCCCAAATAAAGCATGGCCAGAACATAGGGTGTGTAAACAAATATTAAAAACTGCTAAAGAGTGCTGGGCAGTAGTAACGCACACCTTTAATCCTAGCACTCAGGAGGCAGAGACAGGTGATCTCTGTGAGTTTGAGGCTAGCCTGGTCTACAAAAGCTAGTTCCAGGAAAGGCTCCAAAGCCACAGAGAAACCCTGTCATGAAAAACGCAAAGAAAAAAAAACTGCTACAGAGGAAGGCAGGTGGGAGGACAATTTAAAGAGCCTTCAAGGCTGGGAGGTGGTGGTGCACGCCTTTAATCCCAGCACTTGGGAGGCAGAGACAGGCCAATCTCTGAGTTTGAGGCCAGCCTGGTCTACAAGAGCTAGTTCCTGTCTCAAAAAACCAAAAAAAAGGAGTCTTCAAAAAGACTAATCAATCTTGAATATTGAGAGTTACATGCTCAAATTCACATGCTATAAGCACTAATGTTAAAGTACATTATTTATTCATTTTGGTTTTTTTTTTGAGACAGGATTTCTCTGTGTAACAGTCCTAGCTGTCCTAGAACTAACTCTTATAGACCAGGCTGGCCTTGAACTCACAGAGATACTGCCTGCCTCTGCCTCCCAAGTGCTGGGATCAAAGGCGTGCACCACCACTGCCCAGCAATTTTTTTAAAGCAAAAGCAGAAAATTAATTACATATTTTAAAAGTTTTATTATTAATTTTTAAGATTTATTTTTAAGTATGTGTATATTTGCACATGAATGTGACTGTTAGTGCCTAAGTAAGCCAGAATCATCAGATTTCCTGAAGCTGGAATCACGGGTGGTTGGTTGTAAGCCACCTGATGTGGGTGCTGGGAATTGGACTTAGGTCCTGTGGGAATGCAACAAGTGCTCTTAACTGCTGTCTCTCTAGCAATCAGTATTTTTTTCAAATCTACTTTTTATATTTTATTTTTTACGTTAATATAAAAGGTAATGGGTTTCATTAATGAATTTTCATAAATACTGTTTTGTTTTAAACCAGTCCTCTTCCTCCAGTATGTTCCCTTCCAATCCCCTGCCCCTCTTCCCCTACAAGTCTCCTCTTATGATTTCATGTCCCCTTTTCAAATCTCCCTTAAGATATCTTTATCTAACCTCTTATGGTCACCTTTCTAGTTTCATGACCTATATATACCCCCACTTGTATACACACACACACACACACTCTGGGATCCTCATATGAGAACTATGCAGTATGTGTCATTCAAAGTCTCGGAGACTTTGCTTAAGATAATAATTTCCTCTTTCATCCACTCAAATTTACTTTCTAAGCTGACCACTCTGAAGTAAGCTTTGTCTACCACATAGTATTTGAAAAATATCCCAAATATGAGTTTGACAACTGCCTCAAGTGATCTTTGTTAAAGAATCTACTTACATCCTTTAGAGTGATGATGTTTGGATGCTGTCCATAGCGAAGAAGAATTTCAATCTCTTCTGTTGGGTCTCTCTTGCTTTTATCAATTATCTAAAAGGCAGACATTTTAAATGAAATTTTATGAGCATCAACCTTCAATGTTTATAGTTATAGACCTTAGGTATCATCACATGTAAACACTGTACATATAAGCCATTTACCAGTCAGTAGTAATTAACTACTTAGCCAGATTGTTTCATTAGAAAACTAGTCTTTATATAGATGGCCAATAAGGCTAACCATTTGACACATTCCTACTAGGTCACTACAAGGCAAGTTTGTAGTAAATTTGGGACTTACTGAAAACTCAAAAGTATCAAGAAAAATTATCAACAATAAAGTTACCATATCACTTTTTTTCTACCCTTGAATTTATTTCTCAAACATTTGAGAATTGAACTTCTAATCTCCTATCAATACAGATAATTTACAGATGCATGAGTCTGCAATCCCGTCATTAGCTTACTGAATGGAATTTGCTTTTTTTTTTCCAAGATAAGGTTTCTCAGTATAGCCCTGTCTGTCCAGGACCTACCTTGAATTCGTAGATCCACCTGTCTTTGCCTCCTGAGTGCTGGGATTAAAAGTATGTTAATAATAAAGCTCTTTAAAATATTAACATAGCCTTTTAACTCTTTTATGTCAGTTGCTTAATTTTTTTCTGAATGTTTTAGTATGTTCAAGTACTATGCACACACATTTTAAAATTATATGTGAATAGGTGTTTGCCTACATATGTATATCTATCTGTGTACCACATATATGTCTGGTGACCACAGAGGCCAGAAAGGGTGTTGGAGTCTCTAGAATTGGAGTTACAGATGATTGTGAACTCCCATGTGGGTTCTAGGACTCAAACCTAGGTCTGCTGGAAGAGCAGCAAGTGCTATCTTTCTTATAAAAAATGATTTTATTTCATGTATGTCTACCACGTATGTGTACGAGCCCTCGGAGATCAGAAGTGGGTGTTTGATCTCCTGGAACTGGAATTATACACTACAGTGAACTACTTATGTGGGTACTGGGAAACAAACCCAGGTCCAATGCAAGGGAAGTCTGGCCTCTTAACTCCTAAACTATCTCTCCAGCCCTAAGTGCTATATTTATTTTTAATTTATTTATTTATTAAGGATTTCTGCCTCCTCCCCGCTACCGCCTCCCATTTCCCTCCCCCTCCCCCGATCAAGTCCCCCTCCCTCATCAGCTCGAAGGCAATCAGGGTTCCCTGACCTGTGGGAAGCCCAAGGGCCGCCCACCTCTATCCAGGTCTAGTAAGTTGGGCATCCAAACTGCCTAGGCTCCCCCAAAGCCAGTACGTGCAGTAGAATCAAAAACCCACTGCCATTGTTCTTGAGTTCTCAGCAGTCCTCATTGTCCACTATGTTTAGCGAGTCCGGTTTTATCCCATGCTTTTTCAGACCCAGGCCAGCTGGCCTTGGTGAGTTCCCGATAGAACATCCCCATTGTCTCAGTGTGTGGGTGCACCCCTCTCGGTCCTGAGTTCCTTGCTCGTGCTCCCTCTCCTTCTGCTCCTGATTTGGACCTTGAGATTTCTGTCCGGTGCTCCAATGTGGGTCTCTGTCTCTGTCTCATTTACAATCTGGGCTTTGTTTTATGAGTCAGGGTCTCATGGACGCTAGACTGGCCTCAAACTCACTATTCAGCGAGGGTGACATCCCCTGATTTTTCTTGCCTCTGCTCCCAAATACTGAAATGACAGGAACTTGGCTCAATTTTGGCTTTCAATTCATTCAAAGAGTAGTCTGAAACAAATTTTGTGGTCTTTATGTTCAATTTTCATCAGTTTTTATATGTTTTTAAGACAGATTCTTATTTTGTAGTCCTGATCAGCCTCAAAGTAACCCTGTAGCTCAGGCTGGCCTCACAGTGCCGGCAATCATTCTAAAATAGGCCCTCAGGACATGTTTGATGTGTTTATGGAGGTAAGACACATTCCTAAACTGCCTATCAAGTATACCATTCCCTTTTTCTCTTGAATGTTAGCAATCTGAAATTTCCATTCACTTTAGACTTCAATAAGAACAGTATACAGCAGAATAGCATGTGAAATGCATTTCTAAGTTTCCTCATTGTATTTGATAGAAAGTTTCATGGGCATTCACGCCTCTTTAAAGTAATCATATCCAGTTTTACATAGTAATAATAATTTGTTACTCTTTCCCTAACTAAACAGGAACTCTTCATACTTATTAACTACTGTGAAACTTTAGGAATTACTTTAAGTGGAAAAGGATAGATGACTATCATAAAAGGCAGAATTTGAATATGCTTGTTCATTCATAGCTAAAGGTTTAAAATTCAAACTTTATCACAAAACTAGATGCTCAGATTTTGGCCTGGATACTTTTGTCTTAAAATATCATATGAAATTAAAATTACTAATGATGAGAAATGATAATGGTTCTTATTCTTTTAATGGTTCAAAGATTCATTTTAGATATAAAGAAAGGTATGAGTATTTTCACCAGACATAATACAAAATTTGCACATAGTTTTCAGTAATTCCCTGATACTCTGATCATAAAGTAGGAGCTATTCCTAGTATAGGAGTCCTATTAAAAATCATGAGGTAGAAACTGGTGCTTCTCTGATCTGACTACAGAGCTATCTCCATCTTGTTGATTTCAGCAGAATGGGATCCCATGATTCCAGATTAAGATCTCTGAAGATCACACAGCCAGGCAGTGCAGTGGTGGTGCGAGCCTTTAATCCCAGCACTCCGAAAGCAGAGAGAGGCAGATCTCTGTGAGTTCAAGGCCAACCTGACTACAGAGTGAGTTCCAGGACGAGCTCCAAAGCTACAGAGAAATCCTGTCTCAAAAAACAAAAACAATAAATCAAAAAAACAAAAACAAACAACAAAAAAACCCAATTTTTGTGTGGGTGGTGGCGCACACCTTTAATCCCAGGACTCAGGAGGCAGAGGTGGGCGGATCTCTGTGAGTTCGAGGCCAGCCTGGTCTACAAAGCGAGTTCCAGGACAGCCAAAGATACAAAGAAAAACCCTGTTGTGAACAACCTAAAAATAAATAAATAAATAAAAATAAAATAAAAATCTTTGAAGATCACTAACCCTAAAATTTAAATTTATCTTCAATTTATTTTATTACAAAAGAGAAGAATGTATTTTATTTTAGGGAGGGTCTTTTCATACTGGCTAGGTTAACTTCTAACTCATGATTCTCCTGCCTCAGTCGCCTGGGTGGTTAGATTATAGTCAGGTGCACGCACCTGGGTTGAAGAGTGTAATTTTTAACTCACACTGACATGTATGATTAAGAATTCTAAGAGCTGCATTTTAAATCTAAAAATATTTACCTTCACTGCAAACTCCATGTTTGTGGCTTTATGTATACACCTCTTACAAACGGAGTATGAGCCAACACCAATATCTTCTTTCACTTCATATCCATCAGTAAATTGAATACTGTTCCTATGTAATTGCTACAAACAAAATCAAAGGTTGATAAGAGAGCTCCGTAATGTCTTTAATGCATTTTTATAATCAAGGAATATTTTACTAAGCATGTATTGCTGATATTATTACTAATACAAATATTAATAAAAATGTTATTTATAGTATGTGAAATAGACCCTTTGAAGGTACTTATATTAATAAGAGAAATTAATATGTAGAACATAAAAACAGAAATAATTGATAGTTCATCTATACTCTTATCTTCGATTTTAGCCTCTTTTGTTTTTGGAGACTATCATACAATATATTTTGATCATAGTCTTTCCTCTCCCCAAACTTCTGCCAGACCCCATATCATTTCATGTTCTTTCTCTGTCTTAAAAAATAAGCCAAAGAACACAATACAAAAAATCAGGAACACACACCTCCACCCTTCCATGGAATCTGATTTGTGTTGGACAACTACTCTGGAGCATAAAGCCTGTCCTAGAGTGTAGTTGACATACTCAGTTTTACTCTATTGAAAAATACAAACTTTCCTTTTTCCAGCAGGTATGAGTTGCAAATAGGTTCTTGGCTAGGGGTGGAGCTTTCTGTCTACTTCTTTCTCTATGATTTTGTAGGGCTTGAGCTTGTGCTTATGTGTGTGTGTGTATAATTTATGCATGTGTATCTGTATGTTACATGTTTCGGGGGCGCTAGAGGCCAGAAGAAGGTATTGGATTCCTTGTTGCTGCAGATACATTGTTGTGAATTTCCTAATGTGGACAATGGGACTTAAACTCAAGTCCTCTGGAAGAATGGGAAGTTGTTTTCATATTTCTAGCCCCTGGGCTCTTTCCCTCCTCAAACAACTATATGCATTTAGAGTATCTTTAAAAATGGATGGAAGTTTGAGACCTCTGTTACATAAGAAAGCTCACAAACACTTCAGAGTAGGGCTGAGGGTGTGACTCAGAGATAAGATAGACTGTCTATCGTTGCTTGAGGATTTGAGATAAGACAGACTGTCTATCATTGCTTGAGGATTTGGGTTAAATTCCCAGCCCAACACCAAACCCCACCACAGGCAATATAAAACAAAAACAATTTAAAACAGCAACTTATTCACTGAGCAAATTCAACAAATTCAAGCATTGATGATATCCAAAAACAATTTAATTTTTCCTAAAAAAATATTATTTTTTCAAAAGGCTAATTAAAACCTATAATTTAAAAGATGAATTAAAAATTTTCAAAGTATTTTTAGTTTTCAAAACAGTAACCACAATTATGATGTATATTATCTCAATATGTACACAATGAATAATGATCACACAGGATAAACTAAAATTATCTTCCTACAATACTATGACAAAAAGAAGGGAATCTCATAGTTTATATTCCTTTCACAATATTTACCAGTTTAGTTTTCTGTTGCTAACACTCATTCCCACATACATGCATTTAGAAACTAGGTTCTGAAGTCTTTTACCTACTTGTTTGCCCCAAATCTGATAATCAATCATATAAAGGAGTAAGGGTACTATGCTAGATAATTTTTTGTTAACTTGACACAAACTAGAGTTATCAGAATAGACAAAACTTCAACTGAGAAAATGCCTCCATTAGATTGGTCTGTGGGTATGTTTGGGGGAGATTTTCTTGATTAATGCTTGATATGGGAGGGCACAGCCCATTTTGGGCAATGCCATTCCTGAGTGGGTAGTCCTGAGTTGTATAAGAAAGCAGACTGTGCAAGCCAGCAAGCTGTGTCCTTCCTTGGATTCTGCTTCAGTCTTGCCTCAGGGTTCCTGCCTTGAGTTTATTTACTGCTTGTATTTATTTAAGTTTTACTGGCATCCAGCATAGCACATTTGCACATAAACTGTCTATAGTTGTATTTTTTGATAGTTTTATAATGTTTTTACTTGATGTTACTAAGCAGCCAAGACTGGCCCGGATTTAACTCTGCAGCCCCTATCAACTGAAACTGATCCTCATGCTGTAGCCTCCTGAATGTTAGGATTACCCAAATACAAGTGGCACCATGGCTGCTTTTTTGCAACAATGGCAGTGCTGTAAGAGTAACTGTAAGGATAGTTGACAAAACCTCAGATGTTTGTTTTCTTACTTTTTATAATGTGTGTTAAGCAGGCATCATGGGTTTATAGACCTCAGTCTATTATAGCTGACCTGACAGAGGCAAGGGATGAAATATACTAGGCCTAATAAATATTTTGAAATATAGAAGAGGGGGCAACAAAATAGTGATGTTTATCTTAGTTCTCTTAGAATTTCACTTTCAAATCACATATAGGTTCATGCATCCTTTGCAATGATATATAAAAGAAATTTCTCTGATATAAATGATTTAAAATATGTTAAGGGGTTCATTAAAGTCAGCACATAATATCTAATCTTATTATTCACATACTAAAAGATATCATAACATATCAAATTCTGAGTTATTGAGACACCACTTACCTGAACAATTGAATGCACACCAACTGTCTGCATGTCTTGGCTTTCATCATCTGAGGTAATAGCAACAAAACTAAACCCCCGAAAAAGCTGATGTGCATTAGCACTAGGCGGAATGCCAGGCGAATCTAAAAAGAATGAGGAATTACTAAGAAGAATCTTTGGAAAATAATTTTATATTTCAAGATACGATCTCTCTGTAGCTTTGGAGCCTGTACTGGAACTTATGCTGTAGACCAGGCTGGCCTTGAACTCACAGAGAGCTACCTGTCTCTGCCTTCCAAGTACTGGGATTAAAGACATGTGCCACCCCTGTTCAGCCTGAGTCTTTGGAAAAATATTTAAGGGACAAACAGTTGACGTTTTGAACTTTCTCTCTTACGCTAGAGTTGTTAGTTACCGGTATGTGTACATATACACACACACCTAGGTACCTCTTGCTGTCTAGAATACCTCAGTGAGGCAGTGTATTAGATCTGTCCCGATTACCTATTGCAACCATCAGCCTACTAATCTGTTGGGGAATATTATTTTAAGGTATGTTACTTTTGTTTATGCAGCATTTGTTTAACCCTGTGAAGCTGTAATACTTTGCCTGTGTAAAACACTTGATGGGCTAATAAAGAGCTGAACAGCTAATAGCAAGGCAGGAAAAAGGACATGTAGGGCTGACAGGCAGAGAGGATAAACAGGAGAAATCTGTGAGGAAAGAGACGGAGCAAGAGGAGGAGAGGAGGATGCAAGGGGCCAGCAACCCAGCCAGCCACAGAGTAAGAAGGAAGATAGACAGAAGTAAGAAAAGGAAAAATTCCAGGGGCAAAAAGTAGACAGGTTAATTTAAGTTAAGAAAAACTGCTAGAGGGCTGGAGACATGGCTCAGTGGTTAAGAGCATTGCCTGCTCTTCCAAAGGTCCTGAGTTCAATTCCCAGCAACCACAATGCTGGCTCACAACCATCTGTAATGGGGTCTGGTGCCCTCTTCTGGCCTTCAGGCATACACGCACAAAGGATATTGTATATATAATAAATGAATAAATATTGAAAAAAAAAGAAAAACTGCTAGTTCCTTGGGCAGCTGAGGAGAGGGAGCCTGAAATGGCCCTATCCTATAGCCATACTGATGAATATCTTGCATATCACCATAGGACCTTCATCTGGCGATGGATGGAGATAGAGACAGAGACCCACACTGGAGCACTGGACTGAGCTCCCAAGGTCCAATGGAGCAGAAGGAGGGAGAACATGAGCAAGGAAGTCAGGACCGCGAGGGGAGACCCACCCACTGAGACAGTGGGGCTGATCTATTAGGAGCTCACCAAGGCCAGTTGGACTGGGACTGATGGAGCATGTGATCAAACTGGACTCTCTAGGAGGGCTGACTGAGAAGCCAAGGACAATGGCACAGGGTTTTGATCCTACTGCATGTACTGGCTTTGTGGGAGGCCTAGCCTGTTTGGATGCTCACCTTCCTAGACCTGGATGGAGGGGGGAGGACCTGGACTTCCCACAGGGCAGGGAATCCTGGCTGTTCTTTGGACTGGAGAGGGAGGGGGAGAAGAGTGGGGGGAGTGGGGAGAGGAGTGGGGAGAGGGGAAAAATGGGAGGTGGGGAGGAGGCGGAAATTTTTTCAATAAAAAAAGAAAAAGAAAAACTGCTAGAAATAAGTCAAGCAAAGACTGGGCATTCATAACTAAGAATAAGCCTCTATGTGCGATTTATTTGGGAGTTGGGTGGCAGGTCCCTCAAAAGAGCAAAAACAAACAACACTAATCTACTCTCAGAGCCTAGAAAAGAGTTAATGTTGTTTGAAGAACATAATAAATCAATGAATTATTGGGCTAATGGTATTTGAAATTAAAGTCATCCCATTCATTTTATTAAAACAAGGGAAATTTTCTTGATCTGTGCTGTCCAATATTGTAAGTAACCACATACAGTTACAGAGTTTTTGAAATGTGTCTACTTATGATTAAAAAACTAAATTATAATTAAATCTATCAGCAACACATGACTTATCATACTAGACATCACAGTCCTACATCATGATCTACCAATGGCTCCACATTTTTATTGGCTGGGGTGGGGGGAAATGCAAGGTTGATATACAGCAAATCAAGGAGATTCAAGGAAAAGATTTTCTGATTGAACCAGAAACAAATACCCACTGCCTTATATTTGAGTTCTCATGTTTTCTCTTTACCTTTGGGAGTTTTTGCAGTAAACTCAGGATCAAAGTAAAATGTATCTTCAGGCCTGCCAGTTGCAGGCTTAAAAGGTGGGTGAATTTCTCTTCTATACAGTTTCTGTTGGAAACAATGAAGATTTAGACACGGGTTGGCTTTTTTTTTTTTCGAGACAGGGTTTCTCTCTGTGTAGTCCTGGTTGTCCTTGAACTAGCTCCGCAGAACAGGCTGGCCTGAACTCACAGGAGATCCGTCTGCCTCTGCCTCCCAAGTGCTGGGATTAAAGGTGTGTGCCACCCCCTCATGGGTTAATTTTTAAAAATAGTTCAAATTTTTCTTTTTTTATTTAAAGTAGTTGAGAACCTATAACCTTGGAAATGCTCCCATGAAAAGTCCCTCGAGTGTGTCTTCAGCCTGTACTTACATTCCAGTCTATTGTTGAGAAAAATGAATGTCTTTTAATTTCTTCAACTCCATCTGGTCCAGCACCTATCAGAAATTGACTGGTTAGTAGTTTTAGTTTGAGGACAAACATGCACAATCATTCACACTTTTTGCTTTGACTACTTATGAATATATAATAACCCCATTAAAAAAATAAATATCCACCTTCCCCTGAAAAAACCCACACAAACTTGTAGCGGCGTAAATGAATGCAGACAGAGTGTAAAAATATATATATAGCTTTAATGTAGAAATAGACTTACAGAACCACCGTTCCCGCGGAGACCAGGAAAGCAGAAGCGAGAGGTCGGAGCTTGCTCGCCAAATTTATAGGCAGACATTAGCCCGAGGCGAACACGCCCCTTAAGGGGCGGGACTTATCCCTACATCTCCCCTTTTTGTCTAAATAAGACAGAACTAAACCAAATACAACTACATACAATAACAACAAATAATAAATACAACAAACAATATTGAGAACAAAAGCTTTGCTAAACATTCTATCTCAAGAAGTCCAAATAATGTAAAGAGTAACTACAATTATATAATCTTCAACTCAGTCAAAAATCTGAGAAGGGAATAAACACTACTCAACAAACGAGATATATCCAAAATGTGCAACAATTGACAGAGACAACTGACTACCTGGGCAATCACCCAAAGTCTCGTTTGCAACGTTGAGTCAACCAATTTTGGCTAAGGCCTAACATAACTGACATACCATTATTAAAGGCAAGGAACTTTTCAAAACTATCTTACCCTGTCTTGGCAGGATATGACAGTCCTGTTTTATCCATTGATGCACACTCTGCGTCTGTGTCAGTGGTTGAGGTATGGGCATTTCTTTGCCCAAAGGCCAGTTCTGCCAAATAGAAAGGCTCCAGATGGAGTGTTTTTGGTGCTCAACATTCTCTTACTAACAGGCTTGGAATTGGAGAGGGACTGAGCCAGAGTCCAACTTCAAAACCAGCTTTATAAATTTAGAAATATGGTTTAATATTACTTACACAACCCATTCAGTTGTCTTGATATTTCCTATTGGGCAGGTATTTTTCCATCTGTCAGTATCCAAACATCCAGGGTCCCTTGAATTTCTCAAAGATGAGTGTTTTCCTGTGGAGATAAGAACAGAACCCTGCCCCCATTCTATATGTTTTTCTTACCACCTGTATGAATATCATCGTTGTGGATGAGTTGTCATTTCACCTTTCCAAGAGGTTTCTCCTCTTCAAATCAAAACTTTATTAATTTTGATGGTATCCACAATTTTTCTTCTCCTGTGGAAACAAGAGCAAAACCCCTTCCCCAACGTAGCACATCTCCTGGCTTCCACTGAGAGGTCAGCACGTCTTTGAAATAAATCGGTTGATTTAGTTCAGCAGACTTTTCCATTATCCAATGTCTTTCTGCTGCTGTCGTTCCTTTCTCATTAGCGTTAAGAAAATTCAAGGTTAATAAAGCATTATGTAATCTATTTCTGGGGGTATTTTCAGTCCCTTTCTGTTTGTTCAGCATATCCTTTATAGTACGATTTGATCTTTCTATAACTGCCTGACCTGTAGGATTATTTGGTATACCTGTAATGTGTTTTATATTATAATAATCAAAAAACCGTTTCATTTTCTTAGATACATATGCTGGACCATTATCTGTCTTTATTTGCGCAGGTATACCCATGATGGCCATAACTTCCAATAAATGTGTGATTACTGAATCAGCCTTTTCTGAGCTCAGGGCAGTAGCCCATTGAAAACCTGAATATGTGTCTATGGTGTGGTGTACATATTTTAATTTGCCAAATTCTGCAAAGTGGAACACATCCATCTGCCAGATTTCATTCCTTTGGGTGCCCTTTGGATTAGCCCCTGCAGGCAGTGGCGTTTGGTTATAGAAAGAGCAAGTAGGGCATTTCTTTACAATCTCCTTAGCTTGTTGCCATGTAATTGAAAACTCTTTCTTCAAACCTTTGCTATTAACATGATGTTTTTTATGAAATTCAGAGGCTTGTAGCACACTACCAATCAATAATTGATCAATTTCTGCATTACCTTGTGCTAGAGGACCTGGCAGACCCGTATGGGATCGGATGTGTGTTATGTACATAGGGCAAAGCCTGTTCCTGATCAAATCTTGAACCTGGAGGAACAATGAGGTTAGTTCAGTATCATCAGGTATAAATTCAGCAGTTTCAATATGTAAAATAACTCTTTCTGCGTATTGTGAATCTGTAACTATATTAATAGGTTCTTTAAAATCCCTTAGCACCATAAGAATGGCATATAATTCCGCCTTCTGGACAGAAGTATACGGACTTTGTTCCACCTTATCCAAGTCTTCTGATTTGTAACCTGCCTTCCCTGATTTATTGGCATCAGTATAGAATGTACGGGCTCCAGTTATTGGAGCATCACGGACGATTCGAGGAAGAATCCAAGAAGTTCTCTTTATGAAGTTAAGCCTCTTGCTTTTTGGATAGTTGTTATTAATGTCTCCCAAAAAATTAGCACAAGCTCTTTGCCATGGTTCATTATCTTCCCATAATTTCTTTAGTTCATCAGCAGTGAAAGGCACTATAATTTCTGCTGGGTCTATGCCTGCTAGTTGACGAAGTCTCAGCTTGCCTTTTATAATTAACTCAGAGACTTTTTCCACATAAGTTTTCAGTTTCTTACTTGGTTTATGTGGTAAAAAGATCCATTCCAAAATAATATCATCTCTCTGCATTAAAATTCCAGTAGGAGAAATTTTTGATGGTAGTATGACGAGAATACAATCGAGCTCTGGATTCACCCTGTCCACATGTGCCTGTTGTAATTTTTCCTCAATCATTGTCAGTTCCTTTTCTGCTTCAGCTGTTAATTCTCTGGGACTGTTTAAATCCTTATCACCATCCAAGGTTTTGTTCAAATGAATTATTAGATCAGGTGTTATTCCAATAGCTGGTCGTAGACTGGAAATGTCTCCTAACAGTCTTTGAAAGTCATTAAGAGTCCGTAGGCGATCTCTCCTAATTTGTGCTTTTTGTGTCTTAATTTTTTGCAAACCTATTTTATAACCTAAATAATTAACAGAATCTCCCTTCTGAATCTTTTCAGGAGCTATTTGCAATCCCCATTTAGGTAAAAGTATCTTTATTTCTTCAAACAGTCTGTTCAAGGTATCCATGTTTGAATCGGATAACAAGATGTCGTCCATGTAATGGTATACTATAGATCTGGGAAATTTCTTGCGTATTATTTGCAATGGTTGGTTCACAAAATATTGGCACAGGGAGGGGCTATTTAACATACCCTGGGGGAGAACGGTCCAGTGGTACCTCCTCGAAGGTTGAGAATTGTTATAAGTAGGCACTGTGAAGGCAAATTTTTCTCTATCTTCTTTTTGCAAAGGTATAGTGAAAAAACAATCCTTTAAATCAATAACTATGAGAGGCCATCCTTTTGGTAATAAAGAGGGCAAAGGAATTCCAGATTGCAGAGGGCCCATAGGTTGAATAACCTTGTTGATGGCCCTGAGATCTGTCACCATTCTCCATTTACCTGATTTTTTCTTAACCACAAATACAGGAGAATTCCAAGGGCTTGTAGATTCTTCTATATGTCCAGCATCTAATTGTTCTTGTACCAGCTGTTCTAAAGCCTGTAACTTTTCCTCAGCTAAAGGCCATTGCTTTGTCCATATTGGTTTCTCAGTCAACCATTTTAGAGGCAAGGCTGTTGGTATCTCTGAAGGGACATCAATTGCTTGTTCTTTTACAGCCCGAATGGCCGGTTTTCTCAGTTTGTAATATCTTTTAATATTATTCTCAGAAATATAGGCTCTAGATTTAGCAGGAATGTTAATTTCAGTATTCCATTGTTGCAATAGGTCACGACCCCATAAATTCATTGCGATATTGGCTACATATGGCTTTAATTTTCCTATTTGTCCCTCTGGCCCTATACATTCAACCCATCTCGTGCTCTGCCTTACTCGAGATAGGGTTCCAATTCCCAGGAGCTGAACATTTACATTTTGAAGAGGCCAATACGGATGCCAAGATTCTGGGGTAATGATACTTACATCAGCACCTGTGTCCAGCAGGCCAGTAATAAAAATGCCATTTACACACACTCTCAGTTTAGGTCTTTGATCATTTATAGAAGTTTGCCAAAACACACGTAACTTATCTTTCTGATCATTATTGCTTGTAACAGTAGGCATGGGGCTTCCTAATTGTCCTGATGAGGCACGTTCTCTGCAGAAACTGGATATGACTGAACCATGTTTGCCATGGGGGCCTGTGAGGCCCCCCCTCTCACGTTTCCCGGCTGTATCAGGTTGCCTTGTCTATCTCTTGTAGACCTGCATTCATTCGTCCAATGTCTGCCCTTTCCACATCTTCTACATAAACCTGAAGGCTGAGTCCTCCTATTTCTGTTATTTCTAGAAGATGCATTATTATTATTATTTCTGAAAGATGCATTATTATTATTATTATTATTATTTCTGAAAATCCGTTGTCTACAATTCCTTTTAATATGACCCATTTTTCCACAATTAAAACATTTGGTATTCTGGTGTCTCCTTTTACCATTGGAAATTGCTTCTTCTACCCATGCTTCAGTGCCATAATCAAATGTATCAACATTGAGTGTATGCAAGACCCATTCTTCCAACGGCGCTGATCTGAGCTTTAAAGGACCCAAAATCCTTTTGCATTCCACATTTGCATTTTCATAAGCCAAAGACTCAATCATTATACGTCTTGCTTCTGGGTCAGATATTCCTATTTGTACAGCCTTAGTTAATCTTTGTAAAAAGTCACTAAAGGGTTCTCTCTGACCCTGTTTAACTCTGACAAATGATTCCATTCTCTGTCCTGGGTCTTGTACCCTGTCCCAAGCCCTTAAGGCTGCTGTAGTACACATGGAGAGTGTGTTTTCATCCAAATTAGCTTGTTCCTGAGGATCGGAAAAGAGCCCTTCACCTAGAATTTGATCTAGGGAAATGTCAATTCCCTTCGCTTTTTCCTGCTGTTCTAAGAGTCTAGCCTCTTGCCTGAATAAGCATTTCCATTTCAATTGCGGTCCACTCTCAAGTACCGCAGAGCTCAGCTGGAGCCAGTCTGAGGGGGTTGCTCTGCTTGTCGTGGCCCAAGATCTTAGCATCTCTTTAACAAAAGAGGCTTGCATCCCAAAAGTCATGACAGCCTGTTTTATTTCCTTGAGATCATTCATACGCACAGGCTCCCATGTATCCTCCTTGATGACCCTAGGGTTTTTGGAACCAATCACCTTCTCTGTTGTTATTACGGGAAAGGCAGGTAGAGCTGTAGGTAGAGCTTTGTGGAAATTGTCCCGGAGAGACTTACCCACAGATGTAGTTAAAATTTTCCTTTCTACCCTTTGCTCTTCTTCATCAGAATTTAGAAATTCCTCAATCTTTTCAATTCTATTCACCATTGCCTTCTGCAGTGTCTGAATCTCCTGTCCAGAATTATGTTCCAAAGCCTTCATTGAGGATTCTAATGTATGAAGTTTGTCCGTTAGAGATAACATCTCATCTTTGGACATAATTTTTATGGCATAAACCGTGCCTTCTTGTATTGACAATCTTTCCGTCAATCTGTCATAAGCTTTAGACAAAATCCGATTGTCACATTCAGCAGTTTTGATTCTCTCAGTTAATGTTTCATTTCCTACAGAAAGGGACTGAATCTTATGGTCCAGATCAGCTGTTCCCTCTTCCATAGTAATGAATTTCTCCTTAACATCAGTCTGAAGAACTTCAACCTGATTCTTGAGAAGATTGTTATCAGCCTGGAGAACTTCAAACTGATTCTTGAGAAGATTGTTATCAGCCTGGAGAACTTCAAACTGATTCTTGAGAAGATTGTTGTCATTCTCAATTGTTTTTAAGCGTTCAATCTCTACCTTAAGATTCCTGGATTCGTCTCGTAAAGACTTTATCATATTTCTATTATCAAACCATTTGATGCCAATGAAAACTACGAATCCCAGAAGGATCCATATATGTGGGGTGATAGACACCTCTTGTAAAATCTCCCACATGGTACAATTAAAAAAATCATTAAATTCTTGAACAGTAATGTGTTCAGACATTTTATTTATAAAAGAAAAAAATTTACCTGCAAAGATCAGTTCCTGTCAGTGGTTGTCTCTGTGTTTTTGGAGCCTGTCCTAGAACTAGCTCTTGTAGACCAGGCTGGCCTTGAACTCACAGAGATCCTCCTGTCTCTGCCTCCCAAGTGCTGGGATTGAAGGCGTGCACTACCAAGGCCTGGCAGGCCTCAAACTCACAGAGATCTGCCTGCCTCTGCTTCCCAAGTGCTGGGATTAAAGGCGTGCTCTACCACTGCCTGGCCGGCCTCAAACTTGTGATCCTCCTGCCTCTGCCTCCTTCAGCAAATCCTATCGGCGTGCACCACCACAACCGGCCAAGTCACTTTGTAACAGACCAAATCTGACACTGTGGCAGCTTTTGTTGCAAAACCGCAAGTACTTGAGCTTCTGCTAATTCAGGCAGTGGGGTTCCGCTGCAAAACTTAGCCAAGGCAGGCAGAATGGGCCTGTGTTGCCGAGTGGGTCTCGGACTCGGCACTGGGGCCGGAGTCACGAACTGAAAAACAGCACCCAGGAGGGTGCTGTGTTAGGTAGCGGGCTACCCGCTTGAGTCGGGGGCAAAATAGCCCGACGTTGGACGCCAAAATGTAGCGGCGTAAATGAATGCAGACAGAGTGTAAAAATATATATATAGCTTTAATGTAGAAATAGACTTACAGAACCACCGTTCCCGCGGAGACCAGGAAAGCAGAAGCGAGAGGTCGGAGCTTGCTCGCCAAATTTATAGGCAGACATTAGCCGGAGGCGAACACGCCCCTTAAGGGGCGGGACTTATCCCTACACAAACTCATGAAGGAAACTAAGTAATTCAATGTCATTACCTAATCTGTTTGCAGGATTCCGTTTGAAAAGCATTCGTAAAAGACTCTGGGCTTCAGGACTCAGAAACTGTGGCATCCCAAGTTTGGCTCTAAATATAAACCCATGTAACAACATTTAACTTTTGGAGGCATTTCATCTTCAAACATTAAACTTTTTATTTTGAAATATGTATAGATTCATACTAAGTTATGAGAAGTAACAGTGATTTCTGTATCATTCTGCAATTCCTACAATGGCAATATCTTATAGAATTATAATGCAATATACAACTGGGGTACTGACTCTGAGATAATCTACTATCATTCAGATGGCTCCAGCTTTATTTGCACTTAAGTGTTTGTGTAGTTTTAGTTTTACAGAATGCTCTCATGTGCATGAATAATTTCCTACATGGATGTACTAGTTATCTATTTACCTTCTGAATGATACCTAAATTGTGTTCAGTTTGGATGATTATATATAAAGCTGCTACAAATATACACATACAGGTTTTTGAATAACATAATTAAGAAAAATCAATACTACTAGAATAAGGTCATCTGAGCCTTAGCTATGGCTATTACTCTTCTGCCTGTTAGCAAATGCCTGTTGCATCCTACATCAATGGTTTTCAAACCATAGCCCTAGAATCCTTTTCCAAATGGACTTTAGAAAACCTAATACTACAAAGAAAATATGTGCTTAATATGCTACTTTCCTATGTTTCAATTTCTTTCTTTTTTTTTTTTTTTGGTTTTTCGAGACAGGGTTTCTCTGTGGTTTTGGAGCCTGTCCTGGAACTAGCTCTTGTAGACCAGGCTGGTTTCAAACTCACAGAGATCCGCCTGCCTCTGCCTCCCAAGTGCTGGGATTAAAGGCGTGCGCCACCACCGCCCGGCTGTTTCAATTTCTTTAACAGTCCTCTAGTGAAGGAAAACTGATGGGGAAGGAATTTATGAAACATTGGAGATCTGAAAACCACAAGGCTGGAAGATTTTATGGTCTGTTTCAACAACAGTATAGAATTGTTTTCTTTCCCCCTACCCTAAAGAAACCAAAGATCCTGTAAGTATGACAATAAAAAACAGAGCTGGAGAAAACAGCCAGCACAGTATTTCCTGGCTACAAAGCTAAAAATAGTACCCCCTTTCAGTGTATGGAAGACTAATATAGATAATGTAGATAACCACAGTACATTAAGTGACAAATCCCAACCTGGGAATGGTGGTGTACACCTGTAGTCAAAGCAATAAGGCAGGAGGATCATCAGTCTGGTTATAGAGTGTAATCCACTCTTACAAAACCAAACCTAAACCCACAAACCAACCAATTAACCAAAAGACAGAAAGGATTTGCAAAGAATGCTAAGAGAATAGTAGTGTATAGCCAATTTATTACAGGACATGGTGAAGGACCTTTTAATAATGTTTTTTAATTAAAATGTTTTGATTTTATTTATTTATTATGTATACAATGTTCTACCTGCATGTACGCCTGCATGCTATAAGAGGGCACCAGATCTCATTAGTGATGGTTGTGAGCCACCATGTGGTTGTGGGAATTGAACTCAGGACCTCTGAAAGAGCAGCCAGTGCTCTTAATCTCTGAGCCATCTCTCTAAGCCCTTAATTTTAAAAAATTTTATGTGTGAATGTTTTGCCTGCATGTGTGTCTGCACCATGTGCATGTAGTGCCCAAGGAGGGCAGAAGAGGGCATTGGATCCCCTGAACTAGAGTTACAAATGCTTGTGCACTGCCATGTGAATATTAGGGATCAGATATGGGTCCTCTGCAAAAACTAGTGCGACTAGTCAGATGAGCCATTTCTCTAGTCCCCCTTCAAATGAATTTAAAGGTTGAATTTAGTTTGAAGTTACTAGGTTAGTGTTACCCAAAATGTTACTAAATAATATTATCCTCCTAGATAGTTGGTGACAATAGAGTTCTATGATCCAGTGAGTTTGTGGATTGTGATTTATTACATCCTTCATGTTAAAGACATAAAATATATTACATATAAAAGGCTAAGAAATGTAGAGTAAATAAATCATTATTTTCTAAATATTTATCTCCCAGGATCCCCTTTTGAGAAGGTAACTATTTGTTATAGTATTAGGCCTCTTTTGAGAAAAACTGGAAAAGTGCTGTTGTATTTCAGGAACTAGGGTGTAGCAGAAATCTTGGAACAGTGGTCTAGCATGGCCAGACTTATTTTCAAGATAACTCCAAGGGTAGCAGAGAACAATCTAGAATGGAAAGAGATGGTAGGCATTATACTTGGAGTGTGGCCCAACATTGTGGGAGAGACTGTCTCATTGCTTGAGCACTGTGAGCAATGCATTACAGAAGAAGTGCTAGAACAATGAAATAGTTCTAAGATAAAATCAGAATACCTGGATATGAAAGAAGGAAGAAGACATATTTCTTTTCTTTTCTTTTTCTTCTTTTAAAATACCTGGAGGGACAGCCGTGGGTGCTGGGAACCGAACTCTTATATTTTTGGTTGAGCCTAGCCTTTAACGGCTGAGCCATCCCTCCAGGCCAAGAAGACATATTTCTGAGTTGGAAATTAGGAGACATGGAAATGTTTATTAGGGGTATAAGGATAGGAGACTAACATCAAACAGGGATTTAGTTTAAAGATGTGAAGTCATGCTTACTATAAAATCATTTGCATGAGTCAGTGTGAGTACAGGTCTGGTGCCAGGTATACTGACATAAGAATACTTTGAAGGTAAAAAATGTTGAAATTAGGGCTGGTGAGATGGCTCAGTAGTTAAGAGTGCTGCCTGCTCTACCAGAGGTCCTGAGTTCAATTCCCAGCAACCACCTGGTGGCTCCCAACCATCTATAGTGAGATCTGGATCTAGTGCCCTCTTCTGGCCTGCTGGCGCCAGAACACTGTATACATAATAAATAAATAAATAAATAAATAAATAAATAAATCTTTAAAAAATGTTGAAATTAGTTCTAAGAAAGACTGAAGTCAGTCAGGGAACTGAATACACAGAGGGAAGAGACGAAGAAAAACAATACATCATAGATAGAACCCTGGTGAGAGAAGATCATTTGAGAGGTGGTTAGAAAAGAAGTATTTTGAACATTAAAAATAATGAAAATGGGTTGGCACAAGAGTTCAGTAGTAGGGCACCTGCTAGCATATACAAGACCCTAGGTTCAATTCTAATATCAGGAAACAGAAGAAAGAAAACAAAACCAAATTTACAACTGGTTGAATCACACTGATGATTTGATCAAGGAAAGTTCATTGTTTCAGAAAATACCAGCTAAAAAGCGAGGAAAGAAAGACAGACTAGAAGAAATCATCTCTTTAAATTTTTTAAAAGAATTTTTTTTTTGGTTTTTCGAGACAGGGTTTCTCTGTGGTTTTGGAGCCTGTCCTGGAACTAGCTCTTGTAGACCAGGCTGGCCTCAAACTCACAGAGATCTGCCTGCCTCTGCCTCCTGAGTGCTGGGATTAAAGGTGTGTGCCACCACAGTCCGTCTTTTTTTTTTTTTTGGTTTTTTCGAGACAGGGTTTCTCTGTGGCTTTGGAGCCTGTCCTGGCACTAGCTCTTGTAGACCAGGCTGGTCTCGAACTCACAGAGATCCGCCTGCCTCTGCCTCCCGAGTGCTGGGATTAAAGGCATGCGCCACCACCGCCCGGCTACAGTCCGTCTTTTTTGTTTGTTTGTTTGTTTGTTTTTCGGAGATGTTTTAAAGGTAATTATTATTAACAGATTAGGAAATGTGGGCTCAGCTGGAATGAAAGTGAGACAACTGTAAGTCATCTGACTCAGTGAAATAGAGTACACGCAGTATAAGTGATTGAATAAACCACCAAGTTTAAACAACTAAGTATGGTAGCACACACCTGTAGTCTTATAGTCATTTAGAGGCTGATGTAGGATGAGTGAAAGCTTGAGGTTAGTCTACGATACTCACAGTAAGTTTCAGATCAGTCTTGACTACATAGTGAGACTCACAAAACTATAAAACCAAATCAAACCCCATCACAAAAACAAGAATTTAAGCAAAAAAACAGATAGAGGAATAAATTACTAAGTTATTAGCACAGTTCTAGGAGTAGACTAATTGTTATATAACTAAAGTACCAAAAGAACCACAGAACTAGTTTTAAATCCATTCAATTATCAATGCCAATTTGCTTGGAAAAATTTGCCATGCCAATTGATCATTAAGTGTTATCTCTGAAAATTAGCAAATCAGAACAGCCTCATTCAACTAAACACACCAGGAATACCAACTTTATGTCTAAAAAAAACAGCAAAAATAAAAACAAAACACACACAGACACACACACACACACACACAAATCCCAAAAAACAAAATCCAAACAAAATCAGACCAAAAGAGCATTGTTAGAGAAGTTCAGACAAGCAGATGAAATAACTAAGAAGATAGATTTATGTATGTGTGTGTGTATGCATGCACGTGCGTGCCAATAGTGTCAAACATTTTAGAAGAGAGAAATAAGGAGTAACTCTCATTCTCTCTTTCATACTAGTCATTAACAAAGTAAGAATACCCTAAGACATTATCCTACATCTGAAATTGTCATATTTATTTAAGCATTAATGCTATGCTTCCTTCATTAGAACAGAAGGACTGTGAGACACTGAAGGTCTTTTCAGTATTCTTCACATTGCAAAACCAGGATTGTAGCAAGAACTCTATTACTTGTTGAATGAATCTTACGAATGAACAATAGGATTAGCTTTCTGACAACTTGTCATGATTTAGCAACTAGAAGGTCATTGAAAACCAAATGAAGCCGGGCGGTGGTGGCGCACACCTTTAATCCCAGCACTCGGGAGGCAGGGGCAGGTGGATCTCTGGGAGTTCGAGGCCAGCCTGGTCTACCAGAGCTAGTTCCGGGACAGGCACCAAAAGCTACAGAGAAACCCTGTCTCGAAAAACCAAAAAAAAAAAAAAAAAAAAAAAAAGAAAAAAGAAAAAAGAAAGAAAAGAAAACCAAATGAAAATCAGTTTTAGTAGAGTGCTAGGGGTGAACAAATAGGCTAAGGAGTAAAAGAAGCTGAGAAATAATAAGAAAAAGCACAAACTACACTTAAAGAGGTTTTGTGTTGAAAGGATGAAAGAACTAATGCTACAGTAACTGTAAAGGAAAACCAGGTCAAAGAAAGAGCTTGGCTTTTCTTTTCAAACACTAGAGAACATTAGTTGAAATCAGGGGATGGGCAATGGAAGTTTGATAGTGAGAGTTCAGTGAAAATTCATTCATATAATATGCATTTTTTAACCTTTTTATTGTTCAGAATAACATGCCAAAGAAAACCTATCAAAACAAACAAATGCTCACCCAAAGCACACAGTTCAATAAATAGCTGTCTTGCCAAGAATGATGATAGCATTGCCAGAAACTTCCATCCAACATAGTATTTTTTTTTTTTTGGTTTTTCGAGACAGGGTTTCTCTGTGGCTTTTTTTTGGAGCCTGTCCTGGAACTAGCTCTGTAGACCAGGCTAGTCTCGAACTCGCAGAGATCCGCCTGCCTCTGCCTCCTGAGTGCTGGGATTAAAGGCGTGCGCCACCATCGCCCGGCCCAACATAGTATTTTTTTTATTTTGTTTCTATTTCTACCATCTGAATATAGACCTTAAAATATGCTTTAGTTTTGCTAGTTTGTAAACTTTATAAATAGAATCAGAGAATCAGTTCTTTTGGGTCTAAGCTTTATTTATTTAACTTCCTAGTAAGACTTATACAAATTCTTGCATGGAATTGTGACATGTTCATTTTCTTTGCTATATGGCATACTATATTCATATAAAGGCCTAGACCTGCTTTGGTATGGTTCCTAAGTCAAGACTTGTTTTAGTCAGGCATGGTGGTACATGCCAATAATCTCAATACTGAGGAGGATAAGGTTGAAGAATCACGAATTCACGACAAGCCTTGTTACATAGTGAGACCTTGTCTCAAAATACGAACAAAAAATAATTGTTTTATATTTTGTATAGCGTTGGATAAAAATACAATAAAGAACAATGTAATAAAGACTCAACTGTATGAATATATACCATTATCATAAATCCAGTCTAGATACTGATACAAATTGCACTGTTAACAATAATATTTTGAATATGTTTGTACTATTTCTTGAGTACCCTGACACATAAATGATAAATGCAAGCCTAGGAGTAGGATAAATAGAGAAAGGCATACACACATGATTTGTCTCCATTTTGAAGCATTTATTTTGAAATCTCACCAACACATGTTCATTTGGGAATACTTACTTAAGAATCATAGTCATTGTTTCTTTACGATCTTTTCCTTGGAAAGGTAGTGTACCAGTGAGCATTTCAAACTACAAAAAGTTAAAACAGAGGTATTAGCCAATAAGTATAAAATTTCAAGTCCAGAAGGTTAAAAGTAAAAACCCTCCTCTTTTTAATTATAACTAGATCTTCTAAAATTGCTACCTATAGAAAGTCCTTTTCTCCTTTTCTCTTGTTTAAAACTGCATCAAATCACTCTATTGTAGTGATATTTAATATGCAAGCTGTTCTATAATACATTATAGTTTTTAAAGTAAACACCTATGTTTCTACTATATTTACTACTGAATTTCTTGATAACTCATAAAATATAAATAACCAAACTATTTTATTCTGCAGAAATTAATTATGGGGCTGGAGAGATGGCTCAGTGGTTAAGAACATTGCCTGCTCTTCCAAAGGTCCTGAGTTCAATTCCCAGCAACCGCATGGTGGCTCACAACCATCTGTAAAGAGATCTGATGCCCTCTTCTGGCTGCAGACATACCTGCAGACAGAATACTGAGATTACTGTATACATAATAAGCAAATCTTTAAAAAAAACTGATAATTCCTTTAAACAAAGAAATCAATTATGTTTTAAATGGCATTTTTATTACTTTATAAATAATACCAATCAAAATTCCCACTTCATCTCCTCCTCCCACTTCCCTCCTGCTCTCCCCCACTCCCTTCCCCCACCCCCTTCCAGTCCTAAGAGAGGGCAAGGCACCCTGCCCTGTGGGAAGTCCAAGGCCCTCCCCACTACATCCAGGCTTAGGAAGGTATACATCCAAAGAGACTAAGATCCCAAAATTTAAATGGCATTTTTAAAGTGTAAATATGTGACTAGTCTAACAGACTGTCAATTTCCTATTAAGCTTTTTTTTCCCCTCGAGACAGGGTTTCTCTATAGCTTTGGAGTTTATCCTGGAACTAGCTCTTGTAGACCAGGCTGGCCTCAAACTCACAAAGATCTGCCTGCCTCTGTCTCCCGAGTGCTGGGATTAAAGGCCACCGCTCAGCCCTCTTAAGCTTTTTAAAGGGTTATTTCTTTTCTTTTCTTTTTTTTTTTTTGGTTTTTCGAGACAGGGTTTTTCTGTAGCTTTGGAGCCTGTCCTGGGACTCCCTTTGTAGACCAGGCTGGCCTCGAACTCACAGAGATCCGCCTGCCTCTGCCTCCTGAGTGCTGGGATTACAGGCGTGCGCCACCACCACCCGGCTGTTTTTTAAAGGGTTATTGCCAACAGATTTATCTAAGAGGCTTTTGCAAAGAATAAACATTATTAATGCTTTTGGGCTTTTCTAACACAAAGTTGTTATTTATAAAGTTCATGCTTGAGAACTGCCAAATCAAGTTAACAAATGACACCTCCAAACTCCCACTCTCCTAATGATTTAGATTTTGCATTGGGCTGTATTCACATATATTTTAGGGTACAAGCAGCTCATGGGTTGCAAGTTGAACATATACTATAGAAAAATCAAAGGAAATATATTTGGCCTTTTCAAATTAGGATGAGATAGAAGCAACCAGTAGGTTCTCTAATCCTACCTTTCAGGCAATCATTTTATTTGGTTATTTAGTATTAATAATAGAAAATATTGAAAATCAAAGCACTAGCTTTTCCCTCATAATATGCCCTGCTAACTCTCACTTGAAAAACAAAAGAACTTCCACCCCTAAAAAGTCAAGCCTTACCATCAACACACCGAAAGACCACCAGTCAGCACTCTGAGTATGACCTCTCTGGTTGACTACTTCTGGAGCCATATATTCCACAGTTCCACAAAAAGAATAAGCCTTCTTTTCATGGTCAATAGACTCCTTACTTAGGCCAAAATCTGCCAAAATAAATACTGAATTAATAAATATCTGAAGTATTTTACATAAATTTTAACTCTGAATTCTAATACTTATTTATAATTAGGAATATTAGCCTAAAATTTTAAGTTAACTGCTTAATTTTTTAAATCATAATCAACCTTAAAAGAAATATAAGAAAGAATATTTTAATAAAATGAGGACTTTTACCAGTTAACTTGATGTGACCTTCTTCATCAAGAAGTATGCTGAAAAAAAAAAGTCAGAAAATGTCTTTAAAGTACTCTACACTGAGACATACAGAAGCTGAAACTGAAACTACTCAACCATCAGCTGACCACACTTACTCTAAAGAGTTACTTTAAGCCATGAGTAACAGCTGAAGAGGCTATCCTTTTCCATGGTGCTTTCTCTAATGCTCTTCTATTGAGGTGACCTGTCTAAATCTCCTTGTCCATGCATACTAAACATATGAAGTAAATCTTCAATCTAAATTCTTTCTTTCTGAGACAGGATCACACCTGAACTCAAGGCTTTCCTTCTGCTTCAGTCTTCCCTGGGATTGTAAGAGTACACTATTCTACCTGGCTCCTCTGGGTAATTATTATAACCTCAAAATAAAAGAGAAATATTAAAAAATTCTAAAAATATTTGTTGAATGAAGTCAGTCTATAGAGGGTTTAAAAAGGCATTCCTAATAATCCTTGCTTCTTTAGTAAAACGGATGTATAAATGATGGAGGAAGGTCATTGGCTAATAAAGGCACTGCCCTGGCCCATTTTATTGGTTAGAGGATAGGTGGGAGGAGAAAACAGGTCAGAACACTGGGAGGAAGAGGAAGTGAGGTCAGAGACTCCACAGCTCTCTCGGGAGCAGACGCCTGAGAGAGACGCCATGCCCCAGTCCCAGGATGAAGCTCCGAACCAGGATGGACTAGGCTAGAATCTTCCCGGTAAGACCGGTTCTCACAGATTACTAGAGATGGGTTGATCGGGATGTGAGAATTAGCCTGTAAGTGCTAGAGCTAAAGGGCCAAGCAGTGCTTAAAAGAATACAGTGTCTGTGTAATTATTTTGGGGCATAAGCTAGCCATGTGGGCGGCCGGGTGTGGGGGACGCAGCCCTGCCGCCCCATATTACTACATTTGGCGCCCAGACGTGTGAACAACTAAACCCACTTAAAAAACCTGAGAAGGCTTAAAAATAAGGGAAAGAGAGTTTAACACAGATTTTTGCTGTTTGTTGGTGGCGTGCTGTAGAGAGATTTCCTGATTCGGCAACAGTAGCAGAAAAAAACGCTGTGTCATTTTAAAGCGCGACTTCCTGGGGCTGTGCCGCCATTGCGATCTCTGTCTGGCTCCTGCGGGAGACAGAGCTTTTGAATAGACCATTTGGAGTAAAGTGCTACGATTTGTTTGATGGCAACTAGACTCACTGTGTTCTCGGGTCTGCTCTGCTTGCTAGAGGCAAGCATGCGCTTTCTTCTAAGAGAGGCTTCCTGACTCAGCTTTAGCTGCAAAGCCTGCAGCTCATTAAGAGGTCCTGCCACGAAACACTTAAACGGTGTTGACGAAAAGCTGAGCGCATGCTTTTCGGTTTTCAGCCGTAGCAGGAAAAAAGCTGCGCCGTTTAAAAATGCCGGCTTTCTGGGCTGTCCTGCCAGGGCAAACTCTGACTGTTTGAGGCAGGAGGGCCGGCTACTGAGAGAGGACTTGAGTGTTGTCTGTTGTAGCTCACTTGCTGGCAGGGACCTTGAAATGCCATCCAGTAAACATGGCTACAGCCAGTACCTCAGCCATGAGGCTGGAAAGCTAAGGAATGGACTGGATCTAGCTGGCAAAGCCACGCCTTTAGTCCTACTGAGATCGCTTGGTAAATTAAAGACTCATGTGGTCAGAAAAAGAGAGATATACAGTAAAGAGAGATTCAAAGACAGAGAAAATTTCTGAATGGTTTAAAGTGTGTTAAAAATATATGCAGACTAAAAGTTGAAGTTCTTAAAGTAAAAAACATAAAAAAAGGAAGAGAGTTGTTGTGTGTGGTAGCACACGCCTTTAATCCCAGTGCCTAGAAGGCAGAGACAAACAGATCTCTGTGAGTTCAAGGTGTAGTAGTGTACACCTTTAATCCCGAATGCCTGGGAGGCAGAGACAGGCGGATCTCTGAGAGTTCAAAGACAGCCTGGTCTACAGAGTTACTTCAGGTCAAAGATACAGAGAACCTGTCTCAAAAAGCAAAGAGTTAAAAGTAAAAATAAACAAAATAGAGGTTAAAACAAAGCTGCACAAAGATGGAAAATATACAGAGAATTTTGATACTGTATGCTATTATGCTCTCTTTGAATCGTTTGAATGCTGAGGAAGGACCAACAGCTGCTAAAAGATATTTGTTTATAAATGCTGCTGAACTAATCCAACATAGATACTTTGAAAATGCCTTAACTTTGAAATTTGGATCTAAGGACATGATGCTTTGGAAAGGAGTTTCTTATTTTGTTTTCACAGAGGATGAGATGCTGTTCATTTCTTCTATTCTGATTTGGTATGATCGACCACGCCCTCCTGAAGGGTTGCAGTGAACATCTTCAGAAAATTGCTTCGCTCAACTGCCAACTGAGATGAAACTAGCACACAGGTTATACCATGAAAGACCTAATTAACGACGCCCCCATTCAGCAGGAAGCAGTTTGGAGAGAAATAACTGCGCCCATATTCCCAAAAAATGTTTATAAATGTTCTTTTACATTTAAAGGGGGATATGATATAGATATGAATAATTTGCATTAGTATAGATTTTGCTTTATTGATAGAGATTTAAGGTCAAATTTGTTATATGTATATGTATTTCTGATCTTTATTAAGGTATTGTGATTGTGTAGTTCATTATTAAAATGTAATGTATAATTAGGAAATATAGGTTGTTGATGGATAATCATAAATAATAGTCAAGTTTGTAGTCATGTTAGTTAGATTTTCTAGATATATAGAGATATATTTTAGATAGACATTCTTCATGTCTTTCTAAGAATAGGACTTTTCATGACAATGAGACACTCTGCTCCTGGTAGCACCAATCTACTTCAAGAGGAAGATGGGCATCGAAGAGGCTCCTTATGGAGTTTGATAGCCATTTGGGCAAGAAACTGCTCTTGCCTGGACTATTGCATAAACTGGACACAGAGAACCCACAGAAAGAGGACTACTGAACTTGTCTAAGGTGAGATGATCTTTCGGGGTTCCTGATTCATGAAAGAGTCCGCGAGACATTCTGCAGGACACAACAGATAGTGACTGAACTGACTTTGAATTTTCCTGCTTTATGGAAATGTCTGCTGGATACCATGGGCCTGAAGGCTGAAGATGGATGCCCCAACGGTACAAAAGAACTTTGGGTGACTGTCCAGGCAGCGAGATGTCTTTGTCATTTCTAGAGTTTGAAGTTTCTTAGTTCTTGTTTACTTAGGTAATATTATATCTTTCTGGAGTCTTTGATGGAGTTAAGAATAGTTAGTTATAGTTATAGTTTTCCTTAGTTATGATAAAGATTATTGTAACTTTTACTTGATAACTGTTTTGTTATATGTAATTTTGCTATGTTAAAGCCTTTTTTTTTTTGTTTAAACCGAAAAAGGGGAAATGATGGAGGAAGGTCATTGGCTAATAAAGGCACTGCCCTGGCCCATTTTATTGGTTAGAGGATAGGTGGGAGGAGAAAACAGGTCAGAACACTGGGAGGAAGAGGAAGTGAGGTCAGAGACTCCACAGCTCTCTCGGGAGCAGACGCCTGAGAGAGACGCCATGCCCCAGTCCCAGGATGAAGCTCCGAACCAGGATGGACTAGGCTAGAATCTTCCCGGTAAGACCGGTTCTCACAGATTACTAGAGATGGGTTGATCGGGATGTGAGAATTAGCCTGTAAGTGCTAGAGCTAAAGGGCCAAGCAGTGCTTAAAAGAATACAGTGTCTGTGTAATTATTTTGGGGCATAAGCTAGCCATGTGGGCGGCCGGGTGTGGGGGACGCAGCCCTGCCGCCCCATATTACTACATATAAAGGCACAGAGGAAGAGAATATATGGGTATTTATTGAGTTATTTGGGTCATCATGAGGAACATCTGAAAAAGATCACCTAAGTATGTAGTTTGGACAGACCATTTTTTGGGGGGGGGTCCTTTCTTCCTTCTTTCTCCCAAATATGACATCCCAACCACAATTTCTCCTCCCTCTCTCCTCTCCTTCCAGTCCTTCCCCCAACGTCCCTCTCCCCTAGATCCACTCTTCCTTCTTTCCTTCAGTAAAGGGCAGACCTCCCAGGGATATCAACTGAACACAGCCTAACAAGCTACAATAGAACTAGGCACATACCCTTATATTAAGGCTGGATGAGGCAAGCCAGTAGGAAGAAAAGGTTTCCAAAAGCTGACAAAAGTCAGAGACACCACAACTCCCACTGTTAGGAGTCCCCCAAGAACACTATACTACACAACCATAACATGTATGCAGAGGACATAGGTCAGACCCATACAGGCTCCCAGATTGTTAGTTCAGTCTCTGTGAGCCCCTATAAGCCCAGGTTCATTGATTCTGTGGGCCATTTTCTTGTGGTGTCTTGGACCCCTGGCTCCTACAATCCTTACTTGTCCTCTTATTCTATGCCTAATGTTTGGCTGTGAGTCTCTCCATCTTTGAGCAGTTAACTTTTGTGGGGGGTAATGGCAAAGTATGGAGCCACAGGAAGGACTAAATACTAAGCTATAAACCCATACTTGTATTTTGGGAAGGCATGCTAGTATACTAACTTGAAAACTCAAATAATAAGCTATCCTATAATATAGGCATTTCCTTACTTTTAATATGAACTAAAAGGAAATCAAACTTGGACAGAAAAATTAACTTTTTAATTATTCCTTTTATTTTTGAGACTATAATTACATCATTTCCCCCTTGCCTTTGCTCCCTACCCCCAAACCTCTCATATACCTGTCTTTCAAACTCATGACCTCTTTTTTCTCATTTACTTCATTTTATTTTATTTTTGGGTTTCCAAGGGTTTCACTGTATAGCTCTGGCTGCCCTAGAACTCACTTTGTAGACCAGGCTGGCCTCGAACTCACAGAGATCTGCTTGCCTCTGACTCTTAAGTGCTGGGATTAAAGGCATGTACAACCACTGCCAGCTTTTCGTTAATTTTTACTGCATGCATATATTTATATATGCATATATTCCTAATATAACCTCTTCAGTCTGTATAATGTTACTCGTATACATATTTTCAGAGCATATCATTTGGCTTTGGATAATCAATTGGTGTACTATTTCCTAGATAAGACTATTTCTCCTCTTCTCAGGATTCCTTAGTTTCCTGTAGTTCTTTGTGCAGGGATGAGGCAGGCCTCTTGGGCTTTCTCCTGTTCAAGTTAGTCACCAGCTTTCTTAATATAGCAATCCAAACATAATTTTACACTGGAGTTTAGCACTAAGAATAATTTACAAAGGACATATTTTTCAAGTCACTTTCATATCAAGCTACTTACTAGGAAAAATTACTCTTAAATATATTTATTTATGAAGCAGTCCAGTATATTTAGGGGACATAAAAGACACTAATAAGGGTCAGAGAGATAACTCAGTGGGTGAAAGTGCTTGCTATGCAAGCCTGATGATGGTCTAAGTTTGATGCCTGGAACCTACAGTGGAAAGAAAGAACCGAGTCCTACATGCAGTTGTCTTCTGATCTCTATACAAGTGCCGAAGAACATGCATTTACACACATACACACACACACACACACACACACACACACACACTTACTTACTAAATAAACAAAGACACTAATTGGATGGTGGAAATATGGACCTTTCTATTTAATAAATAGAAGACAATTCTAAAAACAAGACAAATCTCAATCTTCAAGTTATTCTTAGTAATTCTGAGAGTTATAAAGAGAAAATCTGGATTTAAAACAATGTATCACTTATACTTTCCAGATCAAATATATTTTTTAAAAAGATTTTTTTGGTCATTAGTATATAAAACAAGCGAATTTCTAAAATAAAAAAAAATGCTCATATTTGCCTTTGAAAGAAATATTCAACTAATGTTCTCAGCTATTAATGAATACTATAAATATTTTATTATAACAATTTTAATTTAAAAGAACCTAGAAAGCTGATGGGAATAGTGACTTAAGTCTTTAATCTCAGCATTTGGGAGGCAGAGGCAAGCATATCTCAATAATCTTTGTGAATTAAAAGCCAAACTACATGAAAAATATATATAAAATGTAAGAAGCATGATAGTTTCTAAATGATCCCTTTACAGGCTTTCATACGAGCACATCCTTTATCAACTTCAAGTAAGTAGTATTTAAAATACTCAGTTAAAATTCAGGTGTGGTGGCATAGAACCATACTCAGAACACTTAGGAAGTGGAGGCAGGAGGCTTAAGAGTTCAGGCCCAGTTCTGGCTACATAGTCATTCAGTCCAAGGCTAGCCTGGACTATGTGAGACTGTTAAAAACAAAACCCCAAAGGCCAAAGGCCAAAGAGTAAGAAAATTAGTAATGGTTATTGCTTTATATACTAAGAAGCAAAGAATTTTATGTTTTTTTAAAATATTTATTTATTTATTATGTATACAGCATTCCTTCCATGTATGTCTGCAGGCAGAAGAGGGCACCAGACCCCATTACAGATGGCTGTGAGCCACCATATGGTTGCTGGGAATTGAACTCAGGACCTTTGGAAGAACAGTCAGTGCTCTTAACCTCTGAGCCATCTCTCCAGCCCCCGAATTTTATGTTTTTAATTTTTGATTTATTTTCTGTATATGGATATTTTGCCTACATGTATGTATGTGCACCATGTACATGCCTATTGGTTATGGAGACTAGAAGAGGCCACTGGATACTCTGAGACTGGAGTTACAGATGATTGTGAGCCTCCATGTAGGTGCTGAGAATCAAACCTGGGTTCTCATGAAGAGCAGTAAGTGCTTTTAACTCCTGAGCCAAATTCCCAGCCAAACATGCTTTGTTTTTTGAAATGGGTTCTGGCTATGTTGCACAGGCAGGTCATGAACTCAAGTGATGTTCTCACCCTAGCATTCTGTGTAGTAGGTTTACTACAGACATGTGGATCTCACCTCAATAAAGCTGTTTAAAATTTTTAAAAATATTCTTTATAGAGCATATTATACAAAATATATAAAATATAATATATATATATATATATATATATATATATATAATATCAGTTTATTGATGAGTGCCAATATAAGAGCTGTGGAAAATTTGCTTGTAACATTTAAAATTAGAAATTTCAAGAGTAAATTTTCTTTCTTTCTGTTTTTTTGTGATAGGGTCTCTCTATGTAGTTCTACCTGTCCTCGAGGTTGCTATGTACACCAGGGTGGCCTCAAAGATCCACCTAGCTATGTCTACCAAGTGCTGGGGATAAAGGTATGCTTCACTGTGGATGGCAAAAAAGATATTTCAAGCCCAGTGTTGTTGGCACATGCCTTTAATCCCAGCACTCGGGAGGGAAGCAGAGGCAGGTGGATCTCTGTGAGTTTGAGGCCAGACTGGTTTACATCGTGAGTTCTAGGACAGCCAAAACAGGACTGTTTCACAGAGAAATCCTGTATCTAAAAAACAAACAAAAAAGATATTTCCAATAAATGGTATTTTGGAGAAAGGGTTAGCTCTATACCATTCTTCACAGAGCTAAGTAAAAAAAGAAGAAACAGTATAATTAGGAGAAAAATATTATCATGCGATTGGGAAAAACTCTTCAACCAATAAGTCTTTGGAGAAAACACAAAAGATTAGTTGACCCAATCAGACAAAAAAAAATATGTGTGGATTAAAACAATGTAAATACATTTTAAATGAAAAGATTTGTAAATATATGTGAAATGATTAAAGTTCTCTCTTTTGCCAGGGAAGTTGTGGTGCACGCCTTTATTCCCAGCACTTGGGAGGCAGAGGCAGGCGGATCTCTGTGAGTTTGAGGCCAGCCTGGCCTATAGAGCTAGTTCCAGGACAGACAGGGATACATAGAAAGACCCTGTCTCAAAAGAATGAAAGTGAAAGTAAATCTCAAAGTAAATGAAAATAGATTAGCCGGGCGGTGGTGGCGCACGCCTTTAATCCCAGTACTTGGGAGGCAGAGGCAGGCGGATCTCTGTGAGTTCGAGACCAGCCTGGTCTACAAGAGCTAGTTCCAGGACAGGCTCCAAAACCACAGAGAAACCTTGTCTCGAAAAACCAAAAAAAAAAAAAAAAAAAAAAGAAAAAGAAAAGAAAATAGGTTAACAGTGTTGTTTAACAAAGATTTTACAAGCTTAAGATCATCTAGTGTTTGCAGACGTGAAGCACAGTACTATAATGAAGTGCTGTGGATGGAGATCTGTGAAGTCATTGTATTTTATGACCCCTATACAGCCGGATCATACTAAATTCAATATAATAGCACGGCTCCTTACTTTTTTGGTTTTAAGTCTCTATAGATTATTCCCAGGCTATGCAGATGATCTAAAGCAAGTGCAAGTTCAACCAAGTAGAATTTGACATCTTCTTCTGTGAACATCACCTAAAACAAAATAATATTCCCAAATTTATTTTCTTCTTATGTCTACGATTTTTATGTGAGGCTCTATGTAAGACTTTAAATATTCAATTTGTAAATATGTTAATCAGATATAGATTTAGTTACAATTTACTTGTGAAAGAAATTTGCAAAATGGCCTAATCAGTTAAGTATAATCACTTGCTAAATGGTAATTATGCTTTGTTGCAGCAATGATTGTTTAGCATATTAACATTTTAGAAATGAAAATAATCTTGAGAATAAATGCTGAATTGATAGTACCAATTATTAAGGATGTTTATTGAAACATTATCAATTCTGAAAAAAAAAAGACTACAACAGTATCGGGGTTAAGACAAATCCTCCATGTAAAGTTTTAAGTATAGTCAAAAGATAGGAAAATAATTTTTTTGACTCAGTTTCTTGAATGAAAGAATTTTATGTTATAAGAGAGTATGAATACATGCAACATTGAAATAACAAAGCTTTACTTGAAATAGGATCAGTAGAAATAAATTAAAAATAGATGTTAATTATATACCTCTTTGGATAAACGTGTAAACAAATCTCCTCCCCTGAGAAAATCCAAAATAAGATACAACTTCCCTTCAGTTTGAAAAGCTGAATGAGGAAACAAAATTTCTGTTTAAACCATTGTAGTTTACTTTTTAGGCTTATATTAAATCAATTCATTCATAAATGAATATTATTTTTAGCAAATAAGTGATAACAGAAATCTAAACTTATTTCTACATAGAAGAAAACATTGATTCTCTTAGTTTCAATGAGGAAATGTCAAATATAGTGTGTCCTATCAGGGAACAAAATTTTCTACAGGCAAGACTTCCCTCAAGAATGCTACCATTCTAAATGTGATCAGTAAGAAAAACTCACACCAGAAAGATATCTTTAACCATGAGCTATCATACAAAACTATGCCACAGAGGTGGGTTCATTAGATTTAATGACATAGTACAAGGATTTTAAAAAACTTTAACATTGAGAAATAGCACTTGACTTCCAGAGAAAAAGAAAGGTAGGTGATAGAAGTTTTAGGATGCTGATATTGGGCCTCTTCCTCACCTTCAGTTTGCACTAACACATAAATACTATAAAGTGGTGGTGCAGTGTTATATATCTCTATATATTTTAGTGTATCTGAATATACTCTGGGGGAGAGGGAATAGAGGTGAAGGGATAAGGTGAGAGGTGGTTCAAAACTTACCATAATCCAATTTGACAATGAAAGGATGATTGACTTCTACCAAGATATCACGCTCCATTTTTGTCCAAACACGGTCTCGAACTATAAAGGAGTGAGTGCACATACGATACAATGCAAGTATTTTCAAAGGTAATATTAAAAGAAATTCTTTTTAGATTGCATTTTAAGTTAAATTTTGCTGATGTGCATAAAATACAATTTTTTATTGATGCTGAGTTTTTAAAATCTAGAAAAATAACTTTTGCTACATTACCTAATCAAAAGTCAACTATGTATATTTATAAACCTTAAGCTCCAAGTTAAAAATATATTAGTATTGGGTCTAGAAGCATTTTAGTTGAAGTTGTGGAAAATGGTAAAAAGCATGTGAGTTTTTTAAAAGACAAGACATTTCATGAAATATTAAAACAATAACCTGAAATAGGTTTTAATACTTTTACTAACCCCATCACCTCAACAAATGTTCACAAAGTATCTATAAAATGTGGCAGACTTGGTAAAGGATAGATATATCCCAAGCCAAAGTGGTCTTTGAGGGAGGGAGAAAAGAGGAGGGGTAGATTGGAAATGTACAGCTGAAAGAGCCAAAGGTTTAGTTTTGCTTTGTTTTTTTTTAAATTAAAAGATATTGATTCTAATTTGTATAATCATGAGTAAGTTACTTATTTAAACTCTCTGGGATTCTAGAATCTCAGCTACCTTTCAGGTATAAAATTGTACCTTTGATGTAATTGTGATTACCTGGATAAACGTTAATACCTAAAGCCTGTGTGTATGAAGTATTCAAATAATGGACTATTGTTATTATACCAAAAGGCAGTAGTGTGAATATGTCTAATGGGCAGTTTATTACCAGTGTTAAGTATTACTGGAGTCAGAGAAAGGCAAGATCAGTTTTACTTATAGAGAAAGACTAGAAGTCTAGAAGAAGGAGCAGGGTTAGGATATAAGCTCTAAGACTCTTCTACTTGGATTGCCCAGTTGGATGGGAAAGGCAGGTTCTACAAAAGACCAAGTATGGAGTACCAACACCTGAACAGACATGGAAGCATTAATGATGACTTAGAAGGAGCCGTATCAGTGTAGAAACAAAGGTTCACTATAGGGGACATGGTATATGGAGGATCCAGATTCACAACAAATTAAAATACTGGGAAGAATTTGGGTTTGTGGCAAAACACCTTTCTAGAAACAAACATTTCCTGAGTAAAGCCTAGGCACTAGAGCTAGAGTAAACTCAAAGGCTTGAATACAGTGGGGACAAGAACTAAGTAAATGATCAGAAAACATTCTTAAAGCCGGGTGTAGTGGCATGTGTCTAAGCCAGGTGTAGTAGCATGTGTTTGTAATCACAGCATGTTGGCGGTGCAGGCAGGAGCATTAGATGTTCAAAGTTATTCTCAGCTATGTAGTTAGCTTGAGACCAGCCTGGGTTTCAGTAGACTCTGTCTCAAAAAGCCAAACTGAACCAAAACAACAACAAAAAAGTTCAAAGTTTCTGTTAGTGATTAGGTCGAAGAAAGATGGGGTGCGTGTGTGCGGGGAAACTTGAGTTGGTTTTACTATTAATTCAAGAGAACCACAGACATTTAAAACATAGAAAAAGACCTCTGGGAAACAAACCCCAGTGAGAGATGGCTCAGTGGGCAATGGTACTTACTACTAAGCTTGATGACCTGACTTTGATCACTAGGACCCATGGTGGATGAAGAGAACAAACTCTAGTAAGTCATTCTCTGAATATGAGAAGGAATAAGAAGGAATGCTGTTTGTGTCTCCAAGACTATATATAGAAAATTGTTTTATATAAGGATGCATTGATGCATAAAGTCTTTTTTTTTGGCTGACAGACCACCATAGCAGGACAAAATTCACCATTTATTTAATCTAATGTCATTAACTTCTAGTTGACCCCACTCAGGGTATTAGTAGGAACTTTGATTTGGAAAGACTTCTGGGTAAACATGGGTATTCTGCTAATTATTTCTAAAACCCCACTAAAGTGAAACTAATAGAAAAATGGCAGTAGCAAGCTCTTATTTGCAAGGGGTATGTTTTAGGACTCTTCATGGACACCTAAAACCACCCAAATACCAAACCTGCAGATACATACCTATGATAAAATATAATTTACACATCACACACAGTAAGAAATAGATAAAAATAAATAATAAAATTTCTTTGAGCAGTCAGGGTTCCCTGAGAGGAGTGGGGGGAGGGGGAGAAGGGTGGGAGGAGGGGGAGAAGGGTGGGAGGAGGGGGAGGGAAATGGGAGGCTGGGAGGAGGCGGAAACTTGTTTTTTTTCCTTTTCTCAATAATAAAAAAAAAGTTCTTTAAAAGTGTTCTCATTCTCAGTCACTTTTTTCCCTCCCAAAACATCTTACTGAAATTTTAGCTTTTCACTTAAAATAAGCTCTTTATGACTTTGTTTTGGCATGTCTGAATTACCAACATCATTAATTTTGTGTTTTGAATAAATTATTACCATAAGTTTTGTTTGAAATTTCCTAGAAAACATGAGACAAAAATAAAAACAAAACAAAAAACAAGAAAGGGCAAATATAATAAAATTTAGGGAATCATCCAGAAAGCACAACATACTCAAAACTAGGTTTTATGAAATAGAGAACACATGACAAAAAACTTTCACAAAACTTGAAAATATGAGTCCCTAGACTGAAAGGAACCACCCCATATTTGGTATGATGAAAATTTATATCATGCATTCAAAGATATTGCTTCATAAATTTCAGGACACAAAGATAAAGAAGATTTTATCTATAGACTTCCGGAAAGGAAAAGTTGCTAACACACAAAGGACTGGCAATCAGAATGGAAATAACCTTCGTCATTGGAACACGGGAAACAAGAAGACAATGGAAACTGTACTTTCAAATATCTGAGGGAAACTTATTTGTGACCTAGAATTGTAATCCCGATCAAGTTATAAATTCAGTAAAGGGGCAGAATATACTTTCAGACATGCTACATGACACAAATTTTACCATTAAGTTGTCTTTTCTGTAGTAGCTACTAGGAAATACATATAACCCAAACTAGAAGGTATACTGAGGTAAAGAAACCAGAAAAAGGAAATAGAGCAAAGATATAAAGGATACAAGTCCCACTGGACTATTTCATTCAGTTACGATCAATTTTTAAAGCACAAATAATGAGAACATTGCTGGGAAGATGTGGACATGAAAACTGTATAGGTGGCAGGCAGTATAAAGGAACTAAATCCTAAAATCATCCATGTTGTGAAGTAAACAGATTAGAGCTCCAAATGAAAACAATCAAAGAATTGCAAAGATAAACATGGACTGTGAAAGTAAATGTGAGAAGCAGCAAGTCAGCAACTCTGGAAGGGTCAAGAATTAGGATAGGCAGGGAGATGGAGTCGAGTATAACTGTCTTATATAACAAAAATTTCATAAAAATAAGGTACATATTTAAGAACACATCCAAAATTATCTAGAAGTCTACAATTCTATAACTCTGATGTTTACACACACATTCTAGAATTTCCTTCCATAGCTTATATCTATATAATTTTACATACTTGTGATAGCCCAATGTGTTATAATTTTATTTATGTTTTTACTAATTTCCATAATCATATGTAAAACACTAATTTTCATTTCATGTGTATGAGTGGTTTGCCTGCATGTATGCCTGTTACCACATCCATGTAGCTCCTTTTGGATTCTCTGGAACTACACTTGGACAGTTACGAGCTGCCTTATGGATACGGGGAATTGAACCTGGACCCTCTGAAAAGCAGCAAGTGCTCAACAACATTTTATTTAATCATATTTTATACTAATTATAATACCATAATTTTCCCAGCATTCCTTTTTCAACAGCTATGAATTTTTTCATATGTCAATGTTTCTGTGAATATTTTCAAGAGTAGGAACTCATTTTGTAAGGCTATTTTCTGAGGCTAATTCAGCAGCATTAATGACAACTTTGTACTTAATGCAAAACTGCTTTTCAATGATGCTGCCATTACATGAAATGACTCAGTATTGGTTAGTATGCATTTTTCTTAAAATGCATATTATTTAATATGTATTTTTGTTTAAGCAATAATCATTTCCTCAAAGATTTTTAAAAATTATTATTTTATTGTTTTTTTTTGTATGTATGGGCCTTCTGCCTGCATGTATATTTATGCATCACTTGCATGTGATTAGTGGCCACAAAGGCCAGAAGAGGGCAGTAGAGCCTCTGGGACTGGAGTTGTAGATGGTTGTGAGCCACCATGTAGATACTGGGAACTGAACCTGGGTCCTCTGAAGAGCAGCCAGTGCAATTAACCACTGAATCATCTCTCCAGTCCCCACTCAAAAGATTTATCTTCCTAAATAAGCTTTATTCAAAGTCCTTTACATAAGGTTGTAAAAGTATGTCTTATTAACTCCTACTGGCACACCACTATTTTTACATTCATTGGAATTCTATGGCAAGGAAGAGATTTCTCTTCTTCTTCATTAACTATAGATTCTTAGTTAATAAGCATTTAATATGCTTAATAAACTGTTATTACTAATAATTATTGCAGAGGTCAAAGCACCCTAGAGACAACTCCATATATATATAATGTTTTTCTGTGTGACAGTGTGTATATGTGATAAATGTATGTGTTGTATGTATATACATGTGTATGTGTGTGCATGTGTGTGTGCTTATGTGTGATTGTGTGTGTGTGCTTATGTGTGTTTGTAGGCCAAAGGAGGATGTCAGGTGTCCTACCATTCCCCTACCTTAATGCCTTGAGACAGGATCTCTCAGTAAACCTAGAGTTAGCTAACTCCAGATATCCTTCTGTCTCTGCCCTAGAGAGTGCTGTGCTTACAGGCATATATGTGGCTACACTGGGCTTTTGTGGGGGTGGTAGGATCCCAACTTGGCTCCTTACACTTTCCCAGCAAGTGTTACAAACTAACACATCTCTTCAGTCCCTCAACTTCTTATAATAATACAATATTTGAAGCACACATTTATCTGTTCCCTAGAGAAACTATTTTACAATATATAAAATGTTAACTTTAAAAAATATTTATGTGCACAGCAAAATTTTGCATGTATTTCTGGGTACCATATGTGTGACCAATAGCTGAGGAGTCCAGAAAATAGAATTAGATTCCCTCTGAGTAGAGTTACAGCTGCTCGTGAGCCACCAGGTGGGTGGTGGGAATAGAACCCAGATTCTCAAGAATAACCATTGATCTTAATCACTGAGTTCTCTCTGTGTCACCTACAAATTTTTATTGTCGATTTGCTTGTTGAAATTTGCAAATCTCCTTCTGAGGTTTGACATTAAAATATTATGAAATTCAGATAGGATGAAGTTTGTTATGGTGTAAGACTTAAGAGAAAAGTAGACTAATTGTTTTTCAAGTAGCTAAACAACTTGAGAAACCATTACTTCATTTCCCATTGTTCTATTTACTGGCTTTAGCAGGCAGAACAGTAGGTACTCAACACCTGTGACAGATATAGTGAAATTTAATATCTATTTTGGCATTTTGTTGGACTGATTTATGTTTGCATTGCTTTCTCCATTATCACTGTGTAAACAAGCGTTAACATTAGACAGAACTATTCCCGTCTCATTTTTCTTTAAGGTATGTTTTTTTTTTGGCTAAGTTTTAAGAATTCAACTGGAATCTGGATGTTCAGCTAATGAATTTGAAAGCTAAAGAAGTACAGGATCAACAGCTTTGTCTCATAAGGAATTGGATATTTATCTCCATTTTTAGTATCTTAAGTTTCCAGTTTTATAGTTTCCTTCAAATATTATATACAACATAAATCTTGTTAAATATAAGAAAACAAGAAACTTCTCTTGCTTTTGTGATCCAACTGTCAGAGTTTCATGTATGTGATTTCACAACATAGGATTCAGGTGTATAAAATTTTAAAAAGAAGGGACTAAGAAGGAAGGTGCTGAAAAACTTTAGTTGACCAATCCTAGCAAGAATCAAGTAGTGTCAATGCTACAGAAGTAAGGACTACACGGGATAGAAAATGTATTCAGGAAAAGGAGCAAGAAAATGAAAGCAAAGGAGGATGTTTTTGTAGAACATGGTGAAATTTCATGGCATGATGATAATATCCACACTGAGTGACCAGAAATAATAAATGATCAATACAAATATTCTCTTAGATATTTTAATGCTTTTCAAATTACATGTAAATTTAAGGGAAACAAAGCTGACATTGTGAATCAATGCCTAAACTATCTAGAATCTAGAGATATGGCAAATAAGAAATGTCATTAAATAAAAGGATAATTTAAGTATTTAAACATCTCTGTATAGATCTTCTAAATGTCTTTTTACCTATCAGACCCAAATCCTACATTATGTTTTCTTAAATCACTGACTCAGAATCATCTTTGGAGACCAAAAGTCAAGAAGACAAAATCCTAAAGAATTAATGCTATTTTGCATCTAGGTGATTAGTATGTTTTCCAAAAAATTCAAATAATTTTCAGATGACTCAAACCCAGTTTTAATCTTCTCAAAATCTACTTGCCTAAAGTCCAAGATGAATTGATAATCCTTTTCTAAGCAAGTCCTGTTCTCAAGCCATATGATTCTTAGCCTAGTAAGAAAGTCATTGGAAGTCAGTCTAAATTTAAAGCTGTTAACAGGACCCAATTCAGAATCTAAGTGGCTTCAGGATCACATGAGCTCTACAGAGACCTTTCAGCTTGTTTAGACTACATAAACATGGCAAATAGCAGCAGCACTTACCTTTCAGTGTGGCCTTCTTTAATACCTTCATGGCATAAAGCTGTCTAGCATCAGAGCCTGAGATTTTTTTAACTAAGAACACCTATATTGAAATGACAGAAAATAAACATTACAAAGAATCACAAAATTCCTTTATTATAGTAAGAACCCATTATATATAAATATATTCTAACATATTATAAATGCATTTTATCCAAAATATTATCAATTATTAAAAAAGTTATAAACAGTAGTTATAGATTGACATTTCAATATAGGTGACTGATTCTTTTTTTCATTTTGTGGTTTGCCAGTTCTAAAGGAGCATGTAATATATAGAATAAGACAAAAAAGTCTTTCAACTATAAATATAGCACCTAGAAAACAGCCCCACACATTCACAGCATACCACACGAGATGGTGGCTCTGCTTTATCAAAACAAAATTCTTTTGAGTCCCTCAATTTTTCTGAGTGTTGGGGTGTAACCTGGGATTCTATTCACCCTGGGCAATCACTCTACTGCTAAGCAATAGGCCCAGTCCCATACCACAAATCTGTTTTCTGTTAGTTTTTTTTTTTTTAATTTGATTTATCTTCTCCATTACCTTCTTGTCACCTTCCCCTTTCTAACTAGTTTTCCTTCTACTGTCATGTCTCTTTTTAATGGTGACCCAATGAGCTTAACTAGGGTTGCTTACAGGAGCATGGGCAAATTACTAGTGACTATACACTGAAGAAAATGTCCCTCCCTTCCTGAGCTACCATTAACTGTCTATGAATCCTCAAGGCCCTTCTGAATTACCTCTTTCAAAATTCTTACACTGGGGCTTCTTGTGACAAACTTCTGTTGACACAGTTACTCACAGATGAAGGTCTTTTCTGTGTATGAAAAGTATACACACATCTAGCTCACTGCTGAGGAGAATCATTTAAAGCATTGGTAATCATGTATCCTAAACATCAATATTTAACGTGACTACGCCTTTACCTTTTTACCAGCAAATCACCATATATATCAAAATATGAAGACCACAAGGCCCAGGATTATTATTTAGCATCTTCAATTTTCATATATTTGGGGGTATTTTGAAAAGCATGTGGGGTTTAGGCAAAATAAATAAGATGTGCTTTAACAGTTGTGCTATAATATGGCTGAAACAAACACTACCACTACATCATACTCACTGCCACCAGGCCTTAAAGAGACCTGCTAAACAGACCTGAATTTTTGTGTGTGTGCGTGTGTGTGTGTGTGTGGTGTTTGATAGAGAAGGATGCTGGGTGTCTTACTCTATCACTTTCCACTTCATTCCTTTGGGACAGACTCACTCTCACTGAACTTGGAGCTATTCTGGTAGCTAGTCAAGCTCTAGCAACTTTCCTATTTCTGCCCTTCACAGTGCTGAAGTCATGGGTGTCTAGGGCCACATTTGGCTTTTTACATACATGATTTGGATTTGAACTTTGGTGCTCTTATTCAGCCAGTCATTTCTCTAACTTTTGGACCTATATTTTAACCTATTTCTTACATAATCTTTCAAATCAAGCAGAGTCCCCCACTTTTTTATTTTGTTTTTTGAGACTGGGTCTTATTCTGTATAAACCAGGTTGCCCTGGAACTCAGCCTGCCTCAGCCTCCCAACTGCTGGGAATTATAGATGTAAGACACCATGCCTGATGGAAAGCAGTGTCCTTGAGCTGCTATGGGTGAGAAGAGAAGCAATTACACCCAAGATTTAAATTTATAGTCAGCAAAAAACAACAAATAAAATAAAAAAAAATTAGGGTCAGCTTTTAATTATCTGACTTATACACTATGTGATTAGCAAAAAAAATCTCAAAATAATTCATCAATTGATTCTCAGGCAAGGCAGATTTTATTGTTTTGAGAAATGGTACAAAGACAATGGGTAATGGAATCAAATGAAAAGTACCACATCTCACATTGGACCCCAGAGGCAGGATGTGCTCTCCTGTAATTGTGTTCTCATTGCCAGCATTAAGCCCCACCCAGAAGCTCTTTTAGTCAGTTATGGGGAGCTGACCTAGAAGGATAACATCACTTTTAATACGTGTGGTTCTAAGGTAGACTGCTGTTCAAATGTCAAAGGCAGTCAGCTATTAGTAATAATTATAATGAACAGAAATAAATTCTAATTGGGTAGAGGAAATTAGGAAACTGTCCTATCAATGTCTTCATTCCATTGTAACAGAAAAATTTGTTTCAGTTCTTTGAAAGCAGCTTCTTAGTGACTTTCAGCATGTCTTAACTTCCACAGTACTTTCTGAAGCATTTGCGGTGCAGCATCATGATGATCTGAGCAGGCAGGCCTACTATACAATGCCAGTTTTATAGCTGCCTAAGTAAGGACTTAGAGAAGTCAAACAATTTGCTTGTGTCACAGTGGGACAAGATCCGGATCATATACCCAGTTCTGGAACTCTGCTCATGGCATTCTTTAACTGTTTGCCAGTGAGCCTGACAACAGCAGGAGTCCTCACTTGCCCACGCAGCTATTCTAGGCTCTGACAGGTCATCCCTGTTTTCTTGGCTTACACTGGCCTTTAAGGATGAGTAAGAAAGAAGACACCCTATTTTAATGTTTGCTATTTATAGTAAAGCACTTAAAGTACATTTAAAGAAATAAAGGGAGAGGCATTCGAAAGCTTGAAACTTAAATATTATGTCCCTTGAAATCGAATGTATAAAAATATACTCTGCTATTTGGGTTTGTTGAGGAGTAGGCAATACAGTTAATGCCAGATATGTTTGGCCTTGTATCATTTAATTCTCACTGCTATCCTATAAGGTCAGCATTAATATTTTTCAAAATTAGATGTTAGGCACCATGCACAGAATCTCTAGTCTAGTGGGAGAGATAGTCAATACGTAATTTTACAAATGAGTAATTACAACTGTAGTGAGTGCCATAAAGTAGAGGTATATAATGTTCCTAAAGGGTGTAACTAAGGAATGTGACAAGTAGGGTGGCAGGGAAGTCTTCTCTGAGATCACAGACACAAGAAGATCTAACCAGCTGAAGAAAGCTTAGGACCAAAAAAAGGCCAATGGGGTCAGAAAACAGTGTTGGATAACACATAAGCTAATGTTTTAGAGGTGGCTCTGGAGTCAAACTCAGAGGCTCCTCTGCAATTTTAAGAATTTGTTTTTGCTGGCCAGTGATGATGGTGCATGCCTTTAATCTCAGCACTCTGGAGGCAGAGGCAGGAGGATTTCTGTGAGTTCAAGACCAGCCCGGTCTACAAGAACAAGTTCCAGGACAGGTTCCAAAGGTACAGAAAAACCCTATCTCGAAAACAAAACAAAACAACAACAACAAAAATTTAAAAAAAATGTTTTTATGATAAAAACAACGGGAGGCAGCTAAGGAGTTAATATAACACTACTTCATGCTATTTCTCATGTACATAATTGAGGTTAAGAAAATACATTGGGAAGATACTTTTTCAATAGACCAAGAAAAGATAGTGGCGATGCAGGATAGGATTGCTATGATTTCAAAAATATTTACTAAATCAACAGGATTTGGTGACAGATCATACTGGCTGGGGGTGGTATATGACACAGTGGGGGTTAGAGGAGAGGAGGGAACAGACCTGAAAAAGATGTTAAGAATTGCTCCCCAGTTTCTGCTTATTTAACTGGATGCTATTCATAGTGACAGAAAAAACTGAAATAGGATAGGTTTGGGGGTGGGAAGGATTATGAGTTTGGTCTTAGACACACCAAGCACAAAATAAAATGCCTTGCAGACATAAATGGGGGTGAGGAATAGCCATAGAAAGAGTTCACAGTAAAAACTTAGACTGGAAGCATAAATCTGTGATGTCAGCAGCATGTGAGATACAATTAATACAGGGACATGGAGAAATCAATTAGTGAGGAGTACATGATTGTAGTTTAGAATCAGATGTTAAGGAACTCCTATCTTGAATGACGTGTTAGAATGGGGGAACAGAGCTCTAAGAGATTAACTAACATGATAATAAGTAGAAAAAATGAGTTCAGTATGGCTGACCCAGGGTTTAGACTTATTTTTTGGGGGGGGAGGGTTAAACTTAAAACCATCATGTTTTGCTGGCTATTGAGTCTGTATTTGGATTAGAAGTATGCTCTGTATTTAAAAGTGGTTAAACAACCATAATAAATGATCTGCATTGGCAAAGAGCTGCTAACCAGCCTCATTAAAATATTCAAGAACTATCCATTGATGCTATTTTGACGCTTACAGAGCATGACACCTTCCAATGCTTTCTTATAGAAAGGTGGTAAGGAATAAACTGCACTGTCAAATTGGATGTAAGCTCAGAATATCTTACTTGTTGCAAATCTGTCTAGAAAAATCAAGTAGTAGCAGCTTGAGAAGTGGAAAGCAGAAGGACTGTTGGGAGTTTGAGGCTAGTGTTGGCTGGAGAAAGACACTGTCTTAAAATAATTACAACAATATGACAACAAAAAGAAGAGAGTGTATGAAGGGGATGGTTTGTGATTTTTAATAATTTAAGAAGCATGAGAGCTGGGAAAACAGCTTAGTGATACTGTGCTTGCTTATTATGCTCTGAAGCCCGAAGTCTAACCTCCCCACCACAGACACAAAACAAAGTAAAACAAACACCCATCCATACACCCCCAGCAGCATGACAAGAAATGACAGTCTTAAAGATAAAAAAATTAGTATGAACATTCAATTTACTAAGGTTTCTACTGTAGTTTTGAATAATTCTATTCTTTTTATACTTACTAAGAGTAAAAATTATAAAAAAGAAAATATTACTGGTACATAGACTGGTCGCATTTCATAAAATACTTGCTTTCCAAACACCTATGAATTATAAATATCAGCTCTTTTTTGAGACAAGTTCTTTCCTCTAGTCTAGGTCGGCCTAGGCTGGCGTCAAACTCATGGCAATCATCATCCTGTTTTATCCTCCTGATTACTGGGATTATAAACCCAAGACATTAACTCCTTTTAAATCTGAAGATCATTTAAACTTGTATTCAGTTCCTTTTAACTTTTTTTTAAAAAAGGATTTGTTATATATAGTTTTCTGCCTGCAGGCCAGAAGAGGGCACCAGATCTCATTACAGATGCTCGGAAGAAAAGGCATTCTCTTAACCACTAAGCATCACTCCAGCCCCTCTTTATTTTTATTTTATTTTTTTTTGAGAGCATCTTAGACTGGCCTCTAAATCTATGATTCTTCTGTCTCCACCCCTTAAGTGCTGGGATTAGAGGCTTGTGTTATCAGGTATTGTATTATTTTTCTTGTAACTTTTTTGTTTTGTTTTTTAGACAGTCTATGTAGTCCTGGCTGTTCAGGAACTCACTGTGTAGATCAGGCTGGCCTCAAACTCACAGAGATATGCCTGCCTCTGCCTCCTGAGTGCTGGGATTAAAGGCATACACATTATGCCAAGCCTTCTTGTAACTTTTCAATCTAAACCTATGGCATATCTCTTTCTTTAGGATACACATGTGTATTTTATTATTTATAATTTAATTTTTTTATTTACACATATCTATGCCTGTGTCTATAGATGTGAATGTGACCACTGAGGCAAGAAGAGTATGTAAGAACCCTTGAATCTACCAGGAGTTACAGCTGGTGTAAGCTGCCCCATGTGGGTGCTGGGAACCAAACTCTTATCTTTTGAAAGAACAGCAAACATTCTTTAAAAAAAAATATTTATAGCCGGGCGATGGTGGCGCACGCCTTTAATCCCAGCACTCGGGAGGCAGAGGCAGGCGGATCTCTGTGAGTTCGAGACCAGCCTGGTCTACAGAGCTAGTTCCAGGACAGGCTCCAAAGCCACAGAGAAACCCTGTCTCGAAACCCCCCCCCCAAAATAATAATAATAAATATTTATTATGTATATGGTGTTCCTGTACATTTCTGCCAGAAGAGGGCACCAGATCTCATTTAATGATGGATGTGAACCATTATATGGTTTCTGGAACTTGAACTCAGGACCTCTGAAAAAACAGTCGGTGCTCTGAACCTCTGAGCCATCTCTCTAGCCCACAGCAAGAATTCTTAATAACTGAATCAACTCTCCAGCCCCATCTACATATATCTTAATGAATATATAACTATATATAGGGCATAATATGATAATTTGAAAATTTTATGTAATGAATAATGACCACATCTGAGTAATTAGTATTTTCATATCATTTAATATTTATAGTCAGTTGTGGGGTGGTACATGTGTCTATAATCCTAGGACTCAGGAGACTGAGGAAGGAGGGTTGTGTAGCCTACCTGGGCTACACAGTAAGATCCTATGCCCCCCAAAGATGTTAACTTTCCTTGTGCTGAGAAGCTTCAAACTTCTTTTCTAGTTCTTAATAATATATGCAATAAATTGTTGTTATCTATAGTCATGCTATTGTGCTATAGAACATTACATTTTATTCCTTCTATGTATTCAATTTTGGTATCCATTATCTAGCCTTCCTCTATTCCAAACTTTGTGTGATTAGCATTCTACTTTCTACAGTCACAGAATTTCTATAAACTTTGTTGAGAGGTTGAGAGCACACAATGACTTACCTTTCCAAATGATCCCTGCCCTAATACTTTCAAAAGCTCAAACTGGGAAGGATCTGCCTTTTCATGTCCTTCCTTCACATGATGTGTGATTGCAATTTCTTTGATACTGCCTTCTTCCTGTTGAAATAAATAAAAAGAGACAAGCACATTGTTAGCCATAATCAAACTATCTTAGTATAAGATACTAGAAACTCTATAATATACAAAACTACTCTTTACTACTTATCAAATTAATAGAAAACGCTGGGCAGTGGTGGCGCACGCCTTTAATCCCAGCACTTGGGAGGCAGGTGGATTGCTGTGAATTGGAGGCCAGCCTGGTCTACAAGTGCTAGTTCCAGGACAGGCTCCAAAGCTACAGAGAAACCTTGTCTTGAAACTCCCCCCACCCAAAAATTTAGAAAACACATCAAGTAATTATACTTTCAAGGTAAATGTTAGAGAATGTTAAACCATATTAGCTTCTATATAATATTAGCACTAATTATGCCCAAATCTTTATTCTTTCTCTTGGAGATAATTAGAACAGTTTTGAGGGGGAACAAAAGCGTGTGAGAACATCTGAAAATAGCAGATTAGAGTACTATAATGTGCCTAGCATGTGACTATACCAGGTGGAAAAAATACTATATATTAAAGCACTATTTGTTGGGGAGAGGGACTGAAAACTGTTCTAGAGTAAACACAACTGTTTAACAAAGCATACTGAAGAGGAGCAGAAAGAAGTAGGGTGAAGCTTTATGTTTGAAATCTCTAAGTTACTCCCCATTCTCAAAAGAGAGAAAGGGCTAGTAACTCTGAAAACCAGAGTCAGAAAAGTTTTAACATTTGGATAAAGGGATTAAACATGGGAGGAAAAGATGACTGTTTTCCACAATAAAACAGCGAAAAATCTTTGGGCTAAGAAAGGATATTTTGAGGCCCCAGTCACTGAGCCGCCGACGAGGACTCAGCTGCCTCCTCCTCGAGCCCCCTCGCTTCCCGACAGAGAAACGGTAGGAAGACCCTTACCACTGTCCAAGGGATCGCTGATGATTACGATAAAAAGAAACTAGTGAAGGCGTTTAAGACGAAATTTGCCTGCAATGGTACTGTAATTGAGCATCCAGAATATGGAGAAGTAATTCAGCTACAGGGTGACCAGCGCAAGAACATATGCCAGTTCCTAATAGAGATTGGACTGGCTAAGGACGATCAGCTGAAGGTTCATGGGTTTTAAGTGCTTGTGACTCTGAAGCTTAAGTGAGGATTTCCTTGCAATGAGTAGAATTTCCCTCCTGTCCCTTGTCACAAGTTTAAAAACCTCACAGCTTGTATAATGTAACCATTTGGGGTCCGCTTTTAACTTGGACTAGTGTAACTCCTTCATGCAATAGACTGAAAAGAGCCATGCTGTCTAGTCCCTCATTTAAACAGGTCAAGCAGAAGCCCCGGCAGTGTCCAGCCTGAAACAAAGCAATAACTATGTTTCAGCCAAGCCCAGAGCCCCAAGTTCATAGGCTATGTCTGCCCAGAAGCTCCTTGGCTCTTCCCCTATAGAATCCCCTGCCCTAGGAGAATGTCACCACTTGAACAGCCCAGGTGAACAAGAGAATGGGTAACACCACAGTAGCTATGCCACTAGAGGGAATCTCTAGTAAGAGCCCCTGGTGTCCGACCAGGTAGGCAGAATTCAGAAATGGCCATCTTTCCCCAGGGGTCATGGACATGTGGCTTGCCACCAGGGTAATATTTTTAGCCAGGCATATTGCAAGGGATGTTGGAAGAACTGAAGGGTGGGGCCAGCCTCGTATCAATTAAACTTATGACAAAGGAACAGATACCAAACTGATGCCATTGGTCATGTGGCTAGCTGTATGTTTCAACTCAGTGGTAGCAGCTACCCAGTGCCATGTGAAGGAATAAATAGGTTTTTTGGTTTTCTTTTCCCTTACAGTTTTAATGTTATGTAATGTATTTAAACCCTTATTTAAATAAAACTTGTTTTTGGAAAAAAAAAAGAAAGGATATTTTGAGATAGTGTCTTATTATGTAGATGAGGCTGGCCTCCAACTTTTCTCCAGTGCTGGGATTATAGGCATACAACACCACATTCATCTTAATGAAGGATCTTTAAAGCCCCAACTGGATACTAGAAAATATATAATGTGTACGTAGGATTTTAATTATCTATTTGTGACAGAGGCGCAGCGGCGGCGGCGCCAGACGCACAGAGGCGCAGCGGCGGCGGCGCCAGACGCACAGAGGCGCAGCGGCGGCGGCGCCAGACGCACAGAGGCGCAGCGGCGGCGGCGCCAGACGCACAGAGGCGCAGCGGCGGCGGCGCCAGACGCACAGAGGCGCAGCGGCGGCGGCGCCAGACGCACAGAGGCGCAGCGGCGGCGGCGCCAGACGCACAGAGGCGCAGCGGCGGCGGCGCCAGACGCACAGAGGCGCAGCGGCGGCGGCGCCAGACGCACAGAGGCGCAGCGGCGGCGGCGCCAGACGCACAGAGGCGCAGCGGCGGCGGCGCCAGACGCACAGAGGCGCAGCGGCGGCGGCGCCAGACGCACAGAGGCGCAGCGGCGGCGGCGCCAGACGCACAGAGGCGCAGCGGCGGCGGCGCCAGACGCGGCGCAGCGGCGGCGGCAGCACGGCGGCGGCGCCAGACGCGGCTGAGCGGTGGCCAGACCCAAGCAGCTGGGACAGGCTGCAATAAGGAGAGCAGATCGCCCTACTACAATTGAATCAAAGAGGTAGGCCTTTGGTTGGCCAGGTCACTGGCACAAGGGGAGCCTGGTCCTGTCCTGAAGATCCTTCGGAGGGGTGAGAGGGTTCTTGGCCTGCAGTAGGAACCACAAAAGAGAGTGAGGGCATTTTGTAAGCGGAGCCCTTGGCCAGCAGGGAAACCTGATCCGGTTTCTAAAGGATCCATTGGATAGGATCAATAGGAGGAGATGGGCAGGCGCCAAGGCAAGAACTCACCCAATAATCCGAAAAACAACATGAAAACATCAGAACCCAATGATCTTACAACAGAAGTATTTGAACAACCTAACACAGAAGAAGTGGAAAAAATCGACTTTATGAAGATAATAGAGTCCCTTAAACAACATGTAAAAAATGCCCTTATAGAAATGGATGAGAAGTACAACAAAAAGTTTGAAGAAATGAGTAAATACGTACATGATACCCTGGGAAACCAAGAAAAAACCATCAAACAGGTAATGGAAACAGTTCAAGAATTGAAAACTGAAATGAAGGCAAAGAAGAAAATACAAACTGAGGACCAGCTGGATATGGAAAATCTAGGCCAACGAGCTGAGTCTACAGAAACAAGCATAATCAATAGAATCCAAGAGCTAGAAGAAAGACTCTCAGATGCTGAGGACACCATAGAGAAAATAAACGAACAGATCAAAGAAAACAGCAAAGCCAACAAATTCTCAACACAAAACATTCAGGAACTATGGGACACAATAAAAAAACCAAACCTAAGAATAATAGGAATAGAAGAAGGAGAAGAGTCACAGCTCAAAGGCTCAGAAAATATTTTCAACAAAATTATGGAAGAAAACTTTCCCAACTTAAAGAAAGATATTCATTTAAATATTCAAGAAGCATACAGAACACCAAACAGACTGGATCAAAGAAAAACATCTCCTCGCCATATAATAATCAAAACACAAAATATACAGGTTAAAGAAAGAATATTAAGAGCTGCAAAAGAAAAAGGGCAAGTAACTTATAAAGGTAAACCGATCAGACTTACACCTGACTTCTCGATGGAAACTATGAAAGCCAGAAGGTCCTGGATAGAGGTTCTGCAGAAGCTAAGAGACCATGGATGCAAACCCAAACTACTATACCCAGCCAAGCTATCGTTCACTATCAACGGAGAAAACAAGACATTCCAGGATAAGAACAAATTTAAACAATACGTAGCCACAAATCCAGCCCTACAGAAAGTAATAGAAGGAAAATCGCAACCCAAGGAATCCACCACTGCCAACACTGCCTACAATAACCCAGGCATCTAATGGCCCTTCACGAGCACATCTCAAAGAAAGGAGACACACAATCTCTACTACCAAAAGCAATAAGAATAACCGGAGTAAACAACCACTGGTCATTAATATCACTTAATATTAATGGGCTCAATTCACCTATAAAAAGGCACAGGCTAAAAGATTGGATACGAAAACAGGATCCAACATTCTGCTGTTTGCAAGAAACACATCTCAACCACAAAGACAGGCACCTACTCAGAGTAAAGGGTTGGGAAAAGGTGTTTCAAGCAAATGGTCCTAAGAAAAAAGCAGGTGTGGCCATACTAATTTCTAACAAAACTGACTTCAAACTAAAATCAATCAGAAGAGACCGAGACGGTCACTTTATACTCATAACAGGAACAATTCATCAGGAGGACGTCTCAATCCTGAATATATACGCCCCCAATATAAAAGCACCTACTTATGTAAAAGAAATATTACTAGAACTCAAGGCAGACATCAAACCACACACACTAGTAGTAGGAGACTTCAACACACCTCTCTCTCCAAGGGACAGGTCAATCAGACAGAAACCTAATAGAGAATTAAGAGAATTATTGGAGGTAATGAAGCAAATGGACTTAACAGACATCTATAGAACATTCCACCCAAATAGGAAAGAATATACCTTCTTCTCTGCAGCTCATGGAACCTTCTCAAAAATTGACCACATACTCGGAAACAAAGGAAACCTCCACAGATACAAAAAAATATCAGTGTCCACCTGTGTCTTATCAGATCATCACGGATTAAAGTTAGAAGGCAACAACCACGCTGCCCCCAAAAAACCGACAAACTCATGGAAACTGAACAGTCAACTACTGAACCACGCCTGGGTCAAGGAAGAAATCAAGAAAGAAATTAAAGTCTTCCTTGAATTTAATGAAAATAAAGGGACAACATACTCAAACCTATGGGACACAATGAAAGCAGTGCTAAGAGGAAAGTTCATAGCACTAAGTGCCCACTTAAAGAAAACGGAGAATGCATACATTGGGGACTTAAAAACACACCTGAAAGCTCTAGAAAAAAAAGAAGCAGACGCGCCCAGGAGAAGTAGAAGACTGGAAATAATAAAACTGAGGG